GTAGCCTGCACTTGCTCCACCATATTTGCTGACTGAAGCGATTGCTGACTTGAGTGCTTCAGACCCTGAAATGCAAAATAAAGTTACTGTCAAAACAAGCCTGTCCCTTTTAGCATACTAACTATCCACATAAAAGCAAATATGATCTCACAGTTTTTGGGAGTGACTTCTGACTGAGCGTTTGCTTTTAACTCCGCGTATGCTGCCTTGCAGAGGAGATGGTAACTGTTTTCACAAGAGAACCCGTAATGTCACTTTACCAATGAATGCCAACAGCATGACCTGTCTATAACGAAGAAAATGTGAAATAATTTTATGAGTTACATTATTCCGCTTGTGCCCCCCATGGCTCTTTTGATTGATGAACCAATCTCATTCACTGTTTCCGCAGCATCATTGAGTGGATAACTAGAAACAAAAAGCGACATGGTTCAAACTTTTGTCAAGAATCTCTGTGAAGAACTCAACATAGAGAGAGGTATATGAGGGAGTAAGAGTAACAAATGAACTCACTAGTTTTTCAAGTCCTCCAGAATAGCTGTTGCACCTCTGTACATCTACAATATTGATGCAAACCCTTGTAAGATAATACTAAATGAACATAATATAATTATGCACAGTGGCAACATGCCAACATCTAAAGACAAGACTCACTGTTGACCCACAATCACCGTCGCCCACTTTTCCATCCCATTCGTTCAAACTATCCTTAAGGCTGATGATCACAGTTGCTGCTGCTTGAATAGCTGCCTCAAGAATCTGCCCTTCTTTACTCAGCTCTAGAGGTCGACTTTGAGACTGGTATTGCCAAGTTGTCATGAGATTTACCAAAAACATTTGTCAAGAAACCTTGAAACCTCTACACAACCTATATTTACCAAACTTGTAATACATACCTCGGTGCTTTTTATTGATCGAGAAGGAGGAACAGGAACAGGAATCTTCGCTGGTGGCCGGTTGCCTGCAATGCAGCACAAAACTTTTGTATCTAAGACTATATTCCAAGGAAAAAATTCATGGAAATCGGAAACAGGTTAACTCTCACGGACCATCAGTGCCAACAGGCCAATTTGGAGCCTTGGTTGGAGCATCCAATCGGTCTAAAATCGACTGGTCAGCCTTCATGATTGAAATCGAGAATCCTGGCAAAGGAAGCATCATCAGAGTAACAGGAGCATGTAACACTTAACTAAATGAAGAAATCTACAGAAACTCACCTGCCATATCAAGAGAAGTCATAAAAAAGCCTGTATACACCCTATCAACGGCAAGTCCAAATTCCAACTGCAGTTTAGGGACTGCTTTTCCAGCAGCAATCATAAGTTCCATTAAAGGGGTGCCTCCCAAACTGCAAAATCGAAAAGAAGAAACTCAGTTCTCCCCTAACGACCAAATACACAGAGTAACCTACTAGTTGAACCAAAATTGATATCACAGCAGCAGTATTTGGTCCAGTGAAAATAATGGAGTACTAGACAAATTTCCATTTAAATAGGAAAATACATCGAGTGGGGCTTACCCATTAACCATGAGAACCACTCTGTTACCACGTGTAATTGGAACATAATTGGTCTCCTGCAGAAATGGAAAAATAATTGGATATGGAAACAAGAAAGCTCCATAAAGATAGCACAAATTAAGTACATACAGGACTAAGTATCTGCTGAAGAACATGGGAAACCACCAAATCCACAGGTTGAACGTCAACCACAGCAGCACCAGGTTCTCCATGCTGAGAGAAAAGTTGAACTGGAATGTCAACATACGAACCAAAACACAGAAACAAAGTGAATTTGTGTGAAAACTTGAAAATACAGAAAATAACATACAATTCCAAGCCCGAGTTCCATCTTCTCTGCGCCTAGACGATCTGATGTAACCTGTCCAGGAAGTGTACAGACGGATAATGCAACACCCATGGTACCAACCATCTCTGACGCACATTTTGCCTCAGCCGCAACTTTTTCTAGAGAAAGACCAGCAGCTGCTGCTGCACCTGCAACCTACCCTTTGCCAAGCAGAAGCAAACAAAATAAACTGATGCTTGAAGCTTTATGTTCAGAACTTCTTATTGATTCTAAGCTAACATTACACACAATGTATAATGTGAAAACAAAACAAACAAATCAAAATATAGCAGCCCAAGGTCTCAGACATCACAATTGAAAAGTGACAAAAACAAAAACAATATCAACGAACAGTAACTGCATACAAAAAACACTGATTTAGAGGGTGTTTAGAAAGAGGAAGGAAAGGAGGAGAGAACCTTATGGACGAGAACTGTTCCTGCTAACCCTCTGCGTCCAGCGATACCACGTGGCGGGGGTAAAGCGCAATCCTCTCCAACAATTACAGTCTACAAAGGAGATCATGTTATTCTGTCTGACAAAAACTCTAAACTGTGAAGTAGCAATAATGAGCACGAGCAGTACCTCAACTTTGTAACCTTCAGATTTTGCTTGTTCAGCAGCCAAACCAAAGTTCAAGCGATCACCAGTATAATTCTGTCAAGAGAGATGATGGGGAAACTAAATTAATCAAAAACATAGAGACAAGAATCTATAGTTCCTCGCAACAATAAAAAAATCTGTCTGTGGCTCTCTTTCCCACTCTGACTACCTTGACAATCAATAGACATCCCTCACTACCAGTTACAGCTCGGATTCCCTGGAATTGGACAAAAATTTATCATTCCCTCAAATACACAGATGAAAAAAGGAGACAAAACCCCATTTGGAAGACTCACAGCAAGGATAGAATCAACTGGTGGGGAGGCAAAGACATCTCCACAGATAGCAGCTGTTAGCATTCCTTCTCCAACGTATCCAGCATGTGCAGGCTCATGCCCACTGCCTCCACCTGCATACAAAAGCGGCATTGCTTATAAGAGTTTCAAAACCCTACACCAACCACATACTAATCGGTCACAAAACTCTCACCTGAGATAACGGCAACCTTGTCATATTTTGCAGCCGAGACATCAGCTCGTAGCACCACTTTAACCTCAGGAAAGCCATCCAAATACTGGAGTCCAGGATAAGTTTCGACCAGACCCTCTATGAACTCAGTTACAACATCTGCAAAAAGGAAACCATTCTTTATTCCTTTCTCTTACTGCAAAAGTCACAAGCAGCTAGTTCTCTATACCAAGAAGATATTAATTGCAATTCCATACGGAAATTATACCCTAAGTCCCTAAGCCATTAAAATCATGACATCGTGTTGACCATGCAACGAAACACAACGGTGACGAAGCAACATTTAGAGGATCGCGAACAAAATTGGGGGGAAAATGTGGATAAATAGACCAAAGCGAATTTATGAGCAAGAAACTCGCAATGCAAATAATTTCGCAAACAGTAACACAATCGAAACAATTAACATAGGTCAACAGTTCGCGAGAGCTTTGTCGATTCTCATCGGCCTAATCCACGCCGGAGAAAGAAAAACGCCTCCAAACATAACAGAGAAACGCAGGAAAACAACGAAGAAGAACGAACAAGAAGAAGAACGAACCGTTGGGGTTGTTGATGAATTTCTTGGCCGCGAAAACCATAATTGCGAGTATGAAGCGATCAAAACCTGAGAATCGGAGAAGCTCGCATGTAAGAGGAGAAGATTGTAGCGGAAGGTTTAAGGCAATCCAGAGAAATGAGAGTCAACAACAGCAACGCGTGAGAGAGAAGAGAAAGAAGCAAGAAGAAGAGAGACGCAAAATGGGAGTTTGTTCCGTACGAGAAAACCCAAAGTTAAATAAATGGCAGTTGTAGAAGTATATGGGCCAGGCCCAATTAAAGTGGATAAGATAGATTATGACGAATTTGTATCTTACTTTATTGGTATAGATTTATTACCTAATTAGACTCTAAATGGTCACTGTGTGGTGAACACGTGATACGGTACGTTGTCGTGTGTCACGCGCTCGCCTTTGCCGTGTCACTGCGTGTGTGTATTGGATGATAAAAAATGTATTTTCTTTTTTGTTAACTTGATAAAAATGCATATGCTTAGAATTTGTATTCTAACTTTCCGATTCATTCTTAATGATTTTTTTGTCTAGATGAATTTTTAGTAAAATTATATCAAGAAAGAAAATATGCATATATTGCATTAGCTTTTCTTTTCTGCTCTTTTAGTTTGGTCATAAATTCTATATTTTAATTGCAAAGTATCGTAACATGTTGACCAAAAAAGAAAAGTATCGTAAGAAAACTTCAACTTTTAAATCTACTTTTTGACTTATTTTTCAAGTAAGGTTATCCAAAGCAAAAATAGTATGTGAAAATCTATTCGAACATGCACTTGTCTAAATTTAAAATATTATTTATTATCCTTTCGTACTCAATATATATCCAGATTTCATTCATAAGATAAGATAATTAACCTTAATTGGTTTTATAAAAAAAGAAGATAATTAACCTTAATTAAGTCAAACAAAATGCCAACTTATGCATAAAATAAATAGTACCCATTAGAAGAATCTGATGAACAGGAATAGTCGCAACTTCTCCAAACACATCTCTTAACTTATTCACAATCTCAACTGTCCTGCGTGTGGAAAAATAATTTGTTGGAAATAACTATCACAAAGCCAAAACTACAACGAACGTGCTTAAACTAAGTTTCTTACAAAATCCAATTCCAAATAGAAGTAAGAGGGGAAAGAACTACTCATATATATTAGAACATCTGAATACAGTTATGTAATATACCTGCCGATTCCATGCAAGGATGGACTAAAACCATGCCAGCAGATTCCAACGTATCATGCAATTGCTGATCACCTATAGCTTCTTCAGATAAAACATCAATGTTGCCAAATATTATTTAATGTGTGGGTCTAGCGACTAGCAACGAAGTCAATACATTATACATGGTCAGCTATTGGGCCGTAAAAAGGCCCATCATTAAAAAATAATAATAAACCGGCCGGCAACACGCTCACGGCGTAGACGCGCGCATAATCACAGATCAGAATTATTCTTCCCAAGTTCACACGGAAGATTTGGATCGAAAGAGAGCGAAAGAAAGAGATCCATAAGAAGGGGAATAATGGCATTGCAATGGCTGATTCTGTCGTATGTCGTCGCCGCCGAGGTCGCGATCGCCGTCATCTTGACTCTCCCTTACCCAATGCTCCTGAAGAAACGCATTGTATCACTTGTCTCGCTCATACTCAATCCTGCCGCTTCCATCGTCGCCTTCGCTGGATTTCAACTCCTCGGTAATCACCTCTCTCTCTCTCTCTCTCTCTCTCTCTCTCTCTCTCTCTCTCTCTCTCTCTCTCTCTCTCTCTTAGATCGTCTAATTTCCCGATTCTTCATAATTAGGGTTTCGAGTTGGTACTAGTTTTGGTACCTTTCTTTTTTTGTTTTGGTGATAACTCATGTGAATGGTTTGGCTCATGTGTTTATTTCAGATATTTACTGGAAAAATGAGCATAGGCTAATGTGCTCTTCTGAAGTTTGCACTACTACAGAGCGGGATCGTTACGAGAAATCCGTAAGTTCATCTATATTTGGTACTAGAATTGAAGTGTGTTAGTTCATAATTGTTCATATTATAATGTATAATCATCGGAGGATCCAGTATAATTGCTTTTAAGTTAGTTGATGTCTTAGTAATGAAACAATTGAGTTCTCACTAGCAACACTGCCAAATGCATATATGGTCAGAGACTCACAGGGTTAGTGGTAGTGCTTAGTGTTGATCTCTTCTGAGCTCGACTTTATAGCATCACTTTGCTGTTGTTAAGAGCTATAAAATGCAGATCTTATTTTGGTGGAAATACCCGAATGTCGTTTCTTTGATAAATTTGTCAGAATGAACTGGTTTCTTATTCATTTTATGCCCTGTTCTTGTGAACTTGTTGGTGGTTGGTTGTTGATGAGATTATACCACTCCAATTGTATCTCTTTCCTAAATATCCATCCGAGCCTTTCAATTTTCGTCTAATCCAACCTTAGGTGTCTTCCATCTGTTCATTGCGGCTTCGGTTCTTTGTCCCTAAAATGTTTCAGTTCAGCTTGCTTACTAGTAGGTTACTTGTGTTTCAGATCTATAAGGCTCAGAGGAATGGGGTTCTGTGTGCGGCTGGGATCCTTCTCTACTGGTACATCATCAACTATATAACTCACTTGGCACTTTGGTATTTTTACTGATATTCTCTTGTATTCACTGACAGGTGCATCTTCCGCATCTGCAAGTACCACAAAGACCTTGAGCGTTTGGAGGAATTAGAGAAGAGATACAAAGATGAGTAGAAGTCTTCCCAAGTCTGAGAGTCTTGTTCTTCTCTTATAGTATCACTTCGGCTTGTGACTAGTCCCAAAAACTGAATGAGACCATGATTATCTTGATAACATAATACACACAGGCCCTTTTTGTGTTAATTCATTTTGCAACTTTTGGTTTTCTTTTCGAGGAACAACAGGCTCTGTTTATTTCGCGTCCAGAATTCACCTTTACAGATTATAGTTGTTACAAGAAACCTAGATGACGCCGAGTAAAATTGGCAAATGTCTGTGGATTGACTTGGGACTGCCATGCCAGAGCCAAGCTGAACTGGGTATTATATGCTTTGATTGTCCGGTCTGGTTTTTGTAGACCATTTATCCGAGCTGAGCCCTTCGGAGCAAACTTATGATGTCATGATATCTGTTTGGTTTAAGTATTTGGCAGTTAACTGCATGCTGGTCTTGCTTGAATCGACTGAGCCGGCTGGAATGCTGGTTGCAACCCAGTCACGAACGTATTGACTAGACCAAGACAACTGTTACCGATATTTGGGCCTTAATTTGTGACGGCCCTGACCATTTCAACGTTTTTGAACTCAAAATAATGAGATATTTAACGAATTAACTAGAGATTACCACACTGAAAACTTGAAAAGTGTACACAGTTGTTCACTAAAACTGTTAAGCTACGTGACGTGTAACATATGAGAGGCTATAGCTGCTTTGTCCGCTGTTAGAAACTTGTCGGAAAGTGAAATATGTGGTCCAATAGCAATACCATCTCGTGACACAATCGGTTATACTAGAATTAAATAATCAAAACCCAATCATGATTGAGCACATATTCTTTTCCCAAATATCCTTCTTATAGATAAATAATTGTCAATTACTCATCAAAACCTTTTAAAAGTCACCAAACCACTTTTGAATTTTCCATATAAAACAATAACTAAAAATCCACAATTCTGTTATTTTTACCGAAAACTCAAAACCACGACTTTGTTATTACTTTTACTAAAAACTCAAAACCTAAACTTAGGGTTTTATATAGAAATTTTGTTAGAATTCTGATTTTACCACAAACAAAACCAAAATCATTGAGAGATTCAAAACAAACAAAAGAAGAGGTGGATGTCAGAATTTGAGATCAAAAAAAAAAAAAAAAAAGATGCGGCCACTGGTTGGAATATCCTTCAGCATCTTTAACCGCACCTTTTTTCTTTTTTCTTTAACCGCATCTTTAATATTTTTCGGTTTAAAAAGGATCATCTTCTCCCTCCTTCCTTCATCATCATCGTCTTCTTCACCATTCTCGTTTCTCTTCTTCTCATCACAAATTCTCTCTCTATTTCTCTCGTATCTACAGAGAGAGATACAAAACCTCCAAGTACGTTTCATCGATCTTAATTCATCAAAAATTTGTGTGAAGCTTTGATCAATAATCATGGATTCTCGTCGATCGTTAATGTCCGCCACGGCGAGTCTGTGTTTGCTATTGTCTATCTTCACCACCTTCGTCGTGGTGTCGAACGGTGAGCTTCAGAGATTTATTGAGCCGGCGAAAAGCGATGGTTCCGTTAGTTTTATAGTCATCGGAGATTGGGGTCGTCGTGGCTCCTTCAATCAGTCTATCGTTGCTTATCGGGTTTGGCCCCAAAAAAATCACTAATGGAATATTCTAATAATATTCTCTCCTCGTACAAATGATGTAATAAATTTTAACAGTTTAATTAATAACACAAAATATCCATTTATTACAGATGGGAAAAATTGGAGAGAAGATTGATTTAGATTTCGTGGTGTCTACGGGAGATAACTTCTACGACAATGGATTGTTTAGTGAACATGATCCAAACTTCGAACAATCTTTCTCTAACATCTACACTGCTCCAAGTCTCCAGAAACAGTGGTACAGTGGTAATAATTTTACAAAAACCCCAAAACTTTTGCTAAATGTTATTACTATTTAAGGAATTCTCATCAAATCTCATTATGAATTAATGATGCAGTTTTGGGAAACCATGACTATAGAGGTGACTCAGAAGCTCAGCTGAGTTCTGTTCTCCGGGAAATCGATAGCCGTTGGATTTGTCTTCGATCATTTGTCGTTGATGCAGAGTTAGTCGAGATGTTCTTTGTTGACACGACTCCATTTGTGAAAGAATACTACACAGAAGCAGATGGTCACACATACGATTGGCGCGCAGTTCCATCTCGCAATTCTTATGTCAAGTCTCTCCTCCGTGATCTCGAAGTTTCCTTAAAGAGTTCTAAAGCAAGATGGAAGATTGTCGTTGGTCATCATGCAATGAGAAGCATTGGACACCATGGAGATACTAAGGAGCTCAACGAGGAGCTTCTTCCGATTCTCAAAGAGAACGGTGTTGATCTCTACATGAATGGACACGATCATTGTCTTCAGCATATGAGTGACGAAGACAGTCCTATTCAGTTTCTAACTAGTGGTGCTGGATCCAAGGCTTGGAGAGGAGATATTAACCCAGTGACCATCAATCCCAAGTCTTTGAAATTCTATTATGATGGTCAAGGATTCATGTCCGCTCGGTTCACTCACTCAGACGCAGAGATTGTCTTCTACGATGTCTTTGGTGAGGTTTTGCACAAATGGGTTACTTCTAAACAGCTTCATTCCTCTGTTTGAAGATAAAAGCCTAATAAATTTGGCTTCCTTTGTAATTTTGTAACATTACATTTAAAATTTTTGTAAGTCCTATTGCAGGCTAGGTAGGCTTCCTGCTTAGTTTAGCATCCCTATCATCTTTAGCCATAGCTTATTCCATCACAATAACATATAAATGTACGATCTTTTACTCGGATTTTTTGATACAAGTGTAATGATACCCTTAATGGGTATCTTCTTAATGCTACATACGTTAGTCAATTGCATTACAGACCATTTTTTAGTTCAATACAAAGTGGTACCTAGCATCTACATGGCTCTCAACATCCCAAAGGAACGACCCGAAAGTCACAGCCTCCAAGACGAGCCTCTTCATTCCACCGAAGCTGATCTTTATCTGTTCGTCCTTCGATGAATCAACCGTTCCTTCTGGTGTTATTACAATCTCGGGCTTACCAAACAATGCCTCTGTGTGCTTCTCGATGATTCCAACTGCTTCTCTTGATCTTATAGTGGCGTATCTCTGAAGCGTCTCCGCATCAAATGACATCACGTATGACCTTAACCGGGACGGTTTAATCTCGCTGCCAAAGCCCTTAGCACTAACTCCGCCTGCAAATGCACCAACCTCTGGGTGAGAGGATACCGCCTGATATGTTGTCTTCTCCTCTGGTTGTTCAACGCTTGTTTTACTCTCATCCAACCCACCCGGAAGAATCTTCATCGTCTTCTCAAGCTGAAACCTTTGGTCCACCCTCTTCAAGAAGTATCCATACATCACAGAAGCAGCGTAAACTTGCCCAACTCTGAGCTTGCTTATCTGTGCAACAGAGTTCAAATCACCCATCCTGCTTCCGAGAATCAGGGCTAGATGGTTGTGAATCATCTCGTACATCTCGGGAGAGTGAAGCCGCTCAAGTTTCTCCACTTTGGTCGGCCAAGTATCAACCCGACCAGACGGATCTGAAGATGGGCTTACTGATGGTACAAGTGATACGTTAGCTTCCATGAACTTTTGAACCACCAATGCATACAAAATCTCTTCCAGTGTCCTTCTTCTCTCGTTTTCCTTCACCTCCGCAATCCTCCTAAACACCGAAAAACATTACTCATTCAGAATCAAACTCATATTGTATACAAAACTGTCGAAACAAACACTAAAGTTCACAACTTCACATCATGTATCCTTTACTTATTAGTTTTAGATCAAGATCAAATAATAAACGGTATATACCTGTAGAGAACGATGTCGGTTCCAGGTACGGAGGATGCATCTTTGTTCTGTCCATCAGAGTCCCGATCAGTTTGAAGCTGCTCAAGCTGCTGTTCAACAGCTGCAGGCACAAGATGAGGATGGCTCACCAAAATCTGAGACAGAAACTGACCAGCAGGCGATTGAAGCTGAAGTGGCGCGATCGGTTTGGGGGACGAACCAGAGGAAGCATCATTAGACGCTGAAGAAGCTCTAACCAAAAAACTTCTCCGAGTTTTAGCAGTCGTTGTTAAGCTTTGCAATGATCTTGAGGATCTAGCATACGCGTTTTGCTGCAAACAGAAAAAAAACAAAACTAAAATTAAATATAAAGAGTTGATTTTTTTGGCCGATTACGAGGAACTACCAGGTTAAAATTGAACACAACCGGAGCAGAATTTTTGGGGGGAAAATCGATTTTGATCATAAAACTAGGCTAATTGAATCAAGAACAAGAGATTTGGGACATACCCTTAAACGAAGTTGAAGTCTTGAAGAACCAGAACGCGTGAATCCAGGGCCACTGGCGGTAAGGAACATAGATCCAGAACCGTTGTCAGAAGTTCTAGGTGGTACGACGGGAGATCGAACCAAACTCGCCATCACGGCATCCATGGTTACTCTCTGAGAGTAGAAAGAAGAGAAATCGAAGTTTTGGTCGGAGAAAAGAGATAAGAAGAAACTCTAGAAGTGCTTGAGAAAGAGAGAGGAAATGTCGAGAATGGCGATCGAATGATTTTACTGGTAAACAGACTTTGGTTTTAGTTCTTTGACAAATAATGCGAGTCGGGTTTGATTATTTATATAATAAAATGAAATGACTCATAAAATTATATTATTCGCTTAAATATTTTGTGACCATGGAAATTATTTGAGGCCGTGGTCATTGTGTGTCCTTCGTTGTAAAAGAACGATATTTATTTTCTGGTAAAGGCAATAACGATTATTATAAATCGAATTATCCTTTTTTTGTAGCGTCATTTAAATATCGAACACAATAATATCAACATCTAAAAAACCTGGCCTAGAAAGTTCGAAAATAAAATCTTTGCAGTCATACATATAAACACTAAACCACATTTTTTTCTTTTGATTTTATGCAGTCAAGAACTTTTTAGAAATTACAGGGTGACGTAGTATAGTATTTTGCCATTTTGGTCTAAAGCTTTACATCGTATTTTCCAATCTAGAGGGGACTCTAGGTTTTAAGTTTTAACTTTAAACTTTTTTACTAATCTTAGAAGCCTCTTTACGCAAACTAAACGAGAAAAGTAGAGTCAAACAAACTAAAGAGAAAATATGAGAGCCACCAACTGATGTTGTGTCCATTCCCACTTACACGTATTATTATTACGTTTTGTTTGTTTTGTGACGCATGGGCTATTTACTCCCACTAGTGGCCCAATAAACTCACATTTCTAGAAACAACCTTAGCCTCACGGTGGATTCCGTTACGTGTTCTCAATTTCCGCGTAGTCGGCGTATAAATTGAGTAATTCTAAAAATATCCATTTTCTGAAATTTGTTGGTAAATTAAGCATTAGTTGATAAAGACAGAGAATCTTAAGTTTTATCCACTCCGTTGAACAAAAAAAATCAAGGAGATAAGATAGAGAAGAAAACTTAACTAATGCCATTTTAAAATCTTATGGAAGATGGGTCTATTATTATTTGGATCATTAATCAATTAATTAGGAACTTACGTTAAAAACTTCTCAATTATTTTCACGTGGCATGAAGTTGAAGAACCGACCAATTATTAGAACACACTCTTCTCTCTTACCATCTCTCTATCTTCTTAAGTTGTTTACTTTGTTCTTCGATTTGATCACCAACTCTCACATATTTCGAAATCCCAACACTTTGTTCCGTGTTATCTTCTCTCTCTCATAATCCTTGAGTTTCACGTCTCAAGCTTGACCACTTCTGCAATTCCCAGATTGATCTGTAATCATGGCTTCCATGAGTTTCGCCTTGAATCGCTTCTCTGGACTCTCCTCTAAAACCACCTTATCAGCTGACTTCGATCCATCATCTCGCCGGAGTTTTCTACCGCCGACTAGAGTTGGACTTAAGATCTCTTCCGCCGCCGAATCGGAGCCTGATCTCAGTGTCACTGTAAATGGCCTGAAAATGCCCAATCCTTTCGTGATCGGCTCGGGTCCACCGGGTACCAACTACACCGTCATGAAGAGAGCTTTTGATGAAGGTTGGGGAGCCGTCATCGCCAAAACCGTAAGCTCTTGAGATTTGACTTTTTCAATTTTAGAGTTGATGAACGATTGAATCTGTTCATGCGTTGACTATATTGGAATTCGAAATTGAGATTTCAGAAGTAATCATTAGGATTTCAGTTCTTGATTCTGCTAACCATAGTATCAAGAACAGAGGATTTGGTTGTGTTTGTGTTTGTGTATGATGATGGTGATGATTGAGTTTGGTCTGTATCTGTGATTGGATGGTTTAGGTATCATTAGATGCAGACAAAGTTATCAACGTGACACCTCGATATGCTCGGCTACGAACTGGTTCCAATGGCTCAGCCAAAACAGATGTAATTGGGTGGCAGAACATAGAACTCATCAGTGACCGACCTCTTGAAACCATGCTCAAAGAGTTTGAGCGATTGAAAAAAGAGTATCCTGATCGGATTCTGATTGCTTCCATCATGGAGGAATACAACAAAACTGCTTGGGAAGAGCTCATCGACCGTGTTGAGCAAACTGGTGTTGTGAGTTTTCCCCAAAACACAGATTCTTATTCTTCCTTGTGGTTCTCTTTCAGTTTGTCTGATATTGGTATGTATGTTGAAGAAACTGTTCTGGATGATTGTTTTGTAGGATGCTTTAGAAATCAACTTCTCGTGTCCTCACGGTATGCCAGAGCGCAGAATGGGTGCCGCTGTTGGACAAGATTGTGTGCTTCTCGACGAGGTTTGCGGATGGATTAATGCTAAAGCTACAGTTCCTGTATGGGCTAAGATGACTCCTAATATCACTGACATAACAGAGGTGTGACATCTAATTCTCTCTGCCTTTGTGCTTCCTGAATAGTTGTGATACAAGTTTATGCAAAAGTTTCAGATTCAAATCTGCGGTATTGCTTCTCTGTTTTGCTGCTTTAACCATGATTTTGTTCTTTTTCATTAAATAGCCTGCTAGGGTATCTCTAAAATCAGGATGTGAAGGAATTTCAGCTATCAATACAATCATGAGTGTAATGGGAATTGATATGAAGACGCTGCGTCCCGAGCCATGCGTTGAAGGGTTAGCTATATAGCACTCTTATAATGTCAAAATTTTAGCAACTCTTGTAACGGCATAACAAGAAATGCTAACGTTGTTAGTGTTTTGCAGTTATTCAACTCCAGGAGGCTACTCTTATAAGGCCGTTCGCCCAATTGCGCTTGCCAAAGTTATGAATATTGCCAAAATGATGAAATCTGAGTTCAGTGAGGATCACTCGCTTTCGGGTATCGGAGGTGTTGAAACTGGCTATGATGCCGCTGAGTTCATTCTCCTTGGATCAAATACTGTACAGGTGACTAAACTCAAAACTGTCCTCACTTTTATGTTTTAGACTCTTTTCCTTCATAAACTTCGTTAAATGCTTTTTGTTGGAAGGTATGCACCGGCGTGATGATGCACGGCTATGGTCATGTGAAAACCCTTTGCGCCGAGCTTCAAGATTTCATGAAACAACACAACTTCTCAACGATAGAAGAGTTCAGAGGGTATGAACAACTTTTCTTTTAGGCTTTTATATCATTCTTTTCGCTTGCTTTTGCTTAACAAATTTCGTCGGGTTGTTTGTTTGCTTAGGCATTCGCTGCAGTACTTTACAACACACACAGATTTAGTTAAGAGACAGAAAGAAGCAGTTGAGCAGAGAAAAGCTGAGAAGAGAGGCTTGAAATCTGATAAAGATTGGACCGGAGATGGGTTCGTGAAGGAGACTGAGAGTATGGTTTCTAACTAAGTTAGTAGCCTGATGAAGTAGTGATGACCACCCAAATATTCAATAAAGGTTCTGCAACTTCATTCACAATCAAATCACAAAGGATCTTTCTTTCAAATGTTTAAAATCGACTTCTTAAATCTCACTTGAAAAGAAATAACTAAATTCATGTATCTTAATTTTCTTCTCCTTGTGTACTATTCATCTTGTATCCATCCATAGCAACCATTTCTTTGTTCCTTCAAGTTGGCTTAATTTTTGGCCAATAATAATATCATAGACCACTCAAGGTCTAAGGTTATACACTTATATACTGATTCCGTGAAAGCGACTAAAAGAATGATTTATTTAAACCATTATTTCTCCATCAAGCAAGATGTTACGGTAAGTAAACATGCTTTGAAAATCTGTTGATGATCTGCTTTAGTTTAAACTGGTTGGTTCTAAGTACATAAATAATATGGTTATGGCCTGTGGGAATATGCAATATGGGTATGCTTATAGTTACATACGTCATTTAAATGCGAGGAGCAAAAAAGAGAAATTGATTAAGGAAGAAATATCAAAAGACAAAAGTGGCCACGACTTTCTTCATCACAATGATACCTTTATTAGAAGCTACTTTAAATTTTTAACACAAAAAATATTTCGTTTCCTACCTCACCTACCTACATTTACGTGATCATCAACAATTCTATTTTTACTAATTTACTCATTAATATCTTTTTAAGTATACATAATCAGTTTCGTACTAAAAAAAATGGTAAGAAGAATTGGAATATAAATACAAGGAAATTTGGTAGTTGTTGTTGAGTTTTTCTTTCAATGATGTTGTGAAGATCGCTCGAATATCAAAAGTGGAAACATTTAACTATGCCGTAACGCATATAAGAGAAATTAGTTCCGTTTTGTATATAAACTCTTTTTTCGGCTGTATTTATAAACGTTTACAGAATTTCCGTGAAAGTAACAACATCTTTATGGAAATAGATTAGGAGAATCCTAACGGCAAAAAAAAGAAGTTTAGACGATATTATATATGTTATTAATTAGATATTAAAAATGCTTAAAGATAATATCAGCACACAACAATAAAGAAATTACCAATTTACTAGAATTATTTATTGGCCGTAATTATTTAAGGAAGAAAAAAAAATACTAGCTCTCTCTATAAACACACTCTCAGGAGAGAAGTTGTATAGATCGTCTTCCCTAAACACTGATTATTTTCTCTCCGACGCCGCCATGTCTCTGCTATCAGATCTCGTTAACCTCAACCTCTCCGGCGCCACTGACAAAATCATCGCCGAATACATATGGTTCGATCTCGCCTTCTCTCTGTTTCTCTTTCACCACCTCGCTCATTTATCGTTGTTTCTTCTTACTACTGCGATCCAAAAAGTTTCTCTTTTTTGATATTGATCTATTTATGGATTTTGTAAATTTGGGTATGAACATGATTCATTTCACATGAGTGTTTCGTTGTCCTGCGTTGAATTAAGACGTGTGTTAAAAACATAAAGCTTGTCTCTTTTTCTTTTTCTTTTTTTTGTATTCTTGTGGGTTTGTGAGTTTTTGTATGAATTTTGAATGAACAGGATCGGTGGATCTGGCATGGACATCAGAAGCAAAGCCAGGGTAATTGATATATAAATCTCTGTGTTTATTTCATCCTCTGTTTTGGTTACTTTGATTGATGTGATCTGTTTTGAATTCTACAGACACTACCAGGACCAGTGACTGATCCATCAAAGCTTCCCAAATGGAACTACGATGGATCCAGCACCGGTCAGGCTGCCGGAGAAGACAGTGAAGTCATTCTATAGTATGTTCTTCCCTCATCTTATTCTATCTATGTAACGCTTAATTCATATCTTAACCTTGTTCTTACTTTGTTTGTTAATGAATCAAAAGCCCTCAGGCTATATTCAAGGATCCGTTTAGGAAAGGCAACAACATCCTGGTGGGTTTATTTGATATGATTTGTGACAGATTTCATTTGGATCTAAATCAGATGCATCAAATTATTGATTATTTTGATATATGCAGGTGATGTGTGATGCTTACACACCAGCTGGTGATCCAATTCCAACCAACAAGAGGCACAACGCTGCTAAGATCTTCAGCCACCCCAACGTTGCCTCCGAGGAGCCTTGGTACACTCTTCTTCTTCTGTTGATCTCTTTGTATATCAAACTCAGATACTTATTGTCTCTTTGTGTGATTCAAAAGGTATGGGATTGAGCAAGAATACACTTTGATGCAAAAGGATGTGAACTGGCCAATTGGTTGGCCTGTTGGTGGCTTCCCTGGCCCTCAGGTAAAGCCACTTACCATCTGATAATAATGTTATCACAACACATTTTGACATGTTATCTAATATAATGTTTTTTTGGGGGTAAAACAGGGACCTTACTACTGTGGTGTGGGAGCTGACAAAGCTATTGGTCGTGACATTGTGGATGCACACTACAAGGCCTGTATTTACGCCGGTATTGGCATTTCTGGTGTCAATGGAGAAGTCATGCCTGGCCAGTGGGAGTTCCAAGTCGGCCCTGTTGAGGGTATTAGTGCTGGTGATCAAGTCTGGGTTGCTCGATACCTTCTCGAGGTAGTAATCTACTTAACCTATGCTATTACGAATACAAAACTTTCAAATTTGCTAATGACATCTTCTCTTTTGACAGAGGATCACTGAGATCTCTGGTGTAAATGTCAGCTTCGACCCGAAACCAGTTCCGGTTAGTTTCTTACCTACTCTCTAATACTTCCATATGCAATAAGCATAAGTCTAACGTTGTTGTGACATTCTTGAATGGGTTCAGGGTGATTGGAACGGAGCTGGAGCTCACTGCAACTACAGTACTAAGACAATGAGGAACGATGGAGGATTAGAAGTGATCAAGAAAGCGATAGGGAAGCTTCAGCTAAAACACAAAGAACACATTGCTGCTTACGGTGAAGGTAACGAGCGTCGTCTCACTGGAAAGCACGAAACCGCAGACATCAACACTTTCTCTTGGGGAGTTGCGAACCGTGGAGCATCCGTTAGAATTGGACGTGACACTGAGAAAGAAGGTAAAGGATACTTCGAGGACCGAAGGCCAGCTTCTAACATGGATCCTTATGTTGTCACTTCCATGATCGCTGAAACCACCATCCTCGGTTGATGACACATTTCATGATTTGATTTCTCTCCCATTTGGTTTTTTTTTCCCTTGTGATTGCACCTTTCGATAAAAAATAATTCTTATTATGGCGCATTGTGTGACATTGTGTTTTGTTTCGAATAATTAAATAAGCGATTATTAAGGTGGAAAAAATAGTTAGTGATTTTATTTTGTTGTTATGATAACATCAAAGTTCGGCGGGTGCGTCGGAGGTTGAACTTGTCGGGTTGGTTGTAGTTGGATAAGATTTTGCGATTAGTAATACCAATGAATTTATCGAATATTCTTTACATTAAGATGCACATGTGACCTACTTACTTACAGATATAGAAAAATAAATAGAAGATTTAATTCCGAAGAGGAAGGGGTGGTGGAGTGGAATATTAGGTGGGAACACGTAATGGTCGTCACGTGCTCTGTATTCCTAGTCCCATGCATTGAAGTTCGCAAACTATGGCTTTTGGTAGGAAAAGTCAAAATTAACTTTGTGATATTTATTGTCATGAGTGGGGAAATTCGTGACTCTCCATTCCCACTCAGAAAATTTTAGTCTTTTTGTGACGCATTTACTTCTTGGATTAAGCATAATGGCACTTAAACCAAAAAAAAAGGTGACGAAAAGTAGTGTTAACATTTTCCTAAGTTTTGGTGAAGTCATACAAATTCACAAGTACATTGTTAGTACTCAGTGGTCAGTGCATAGTATCACACACTTTAATTATTTGGACACGTTCCTTTTAAAGTAGATTAGTTTGGAAAATCATGACAACCAACCCACTTGATTTCGCTTTTAAATAAAGAAATTGGAAAGATATAAAGTCATGATCGGTGTTGTCGACTAAACACGAAAAAAGAGAAGCTTACGATTGGTGATCTATGGAATTATGAGATTACTATTTTATTTTCAGAATATATGAAATGTTATTATTAGTTCAACTAATACCTGAGTTTTATAACGCAGATTCCGATTCAAATTTTCAACAGGGAAAAAGCAATTGCTAGGAAACTTTATTTTTTTTGAACGGAATATTAGGTTTGAATGATAGGTAATTCATTGAACATGGACTCTTTGCATTTCAACGTGCAAAATCTCGTGGCTATTTAATTCAATTTTCGTTTTTTTTTTTGTTTTCTTACTAGGACGAAATATAACCGAATATATATATACACACATTTTTCTTTAAAATTAGGTGTAAGTTTGTTATTTAGTCATATGGCTACATTGTAGTATTTCAGAGAAACCTTTTTCTATTTTTCCAATAGAATCATATAATTTGTAGATAAAAATAAAACAACGAAGTTATTGGGTCTTTAGCTTTAAGCTTCTCGGCCCAAAGTATTAATGTCCACCAGCATGATATGACGTCGTTTTTGAAAACAAGTCTTGAAGATTCTATCTAGCCCAATGTTTGTCGTGTAAGAAGATGACCGCTGAGCAAAAACCACGTTAAAACCCTCCTCCTCTGAAATTCCGGAGGCTTCGAGGGAGATGAAATGGCTGCAATGGCTCGCTGTCCATCGATTCCATCTATAAACCCAGCTCATAGCTCCCGTCATCAGTTTCCGCAACCCAATGCGTCATTCTTCTTACCTCCCACTCTACCGAATTTTTTGCGTGTTCGGAGATGTGGAATTTCCGGCGGAAATCGCCGCCGTGTGATCACCATGGCAGCTGGAACGGATCACTACTCCACTTTGAATGTGAACCGCAACGCCACCTTGCAGGAGATCAAGAGCTCGTATAGAAAACTCGCTCGCAAGGTTACTCTTCGAGATTCAAGCTTGTTATTAAGTCTTCCTTTTTTTTTTCTCGAATTGAAGCTTAGTATTTGTAATGGTGGAACAGTATCACCCGGATATGAACAAGAACCCTGGTGCAGAAGATAAGTTCAAACAGATTAGTGCTGCTTACGAGGTAACACAAGTTCTGTCATTTTTATGAATGAATGCCTAGTTTTGATGGAATCTGCGTTCTGTTTTTATGAATTTTGTTGCTTATAACACCTGGGAATGAAGCATTTGTGTAGGTATTATCTGATGAGGAGAAGAGATCTGCATATGATCGATTCGGCGAGGCAGGTTTAGAAGGAGATTTTAATGGATCACAGGATACTTCACCAGGGGTAAGTCATCGTCTTTGATATATTATTAAGGATCTCAGAACATTTTAATTGTCTAATGAGTTCCTTGATTCTAATTCCCTGTTCTTCAGGTGGATCCATTTGACTTGTACAGTGCATTCTTTGGAGGTTCTGATGGATTCTTTGGGGGAATGGGTGAATCAGGAGGGATGGGTTTTGATTTCATGAATAAGAGAAGCCTAGACCTTGACATTCGGTAACATTCTTAGTTTGTTTTTGAGCTATAAATACTTTGAATTGTGTTTTCTTTCTTTCTATGAATTGGCATTTGATTACTGTCCTTACTTGTGTAGTGGCCGATAATTGGCTATAGGAAATCAGAGATTATTGTTATCCCTTTTGTTAGGCTACTACTGTGGTCTTCTCTGTTTGCTGAATGTTTTTTCTTTCCTGGAAGTGGAGGAAGTTATCTATGTCTTCTAATCTTTGTTTCTCTATTGATACTCGGGAACATGTATATTAGGTATGACCTGCGGTTGAGCTTTGAAGAGTCAGTTTTTGGAGTAAAACGGGAGATCGAGGTTTCTTATTTAGAAACATGTGATGGTTGTGGAGGAACAGGTGCTAAATCCAGTAACGCCATTAAACAGTGTAGTAGTTGTGATGGTAAAGGACGTGTGATGAACTCTCAGAGAACACCCTTTGGAATTATGTCTCAGGTAACTCATTATACCCGAATACTATTCCGGTCACTTGCTATTCCCAAAATGAAATTTTCATTTTCCTTGACGCTTGCTATAGATGATAATATGTGTTATATAGGTGTCCACTTGCTCCAAATGTGGTGGTGAAGGCAAAATCATCACTGATAAGTGTCGAAAGTGCATTGGCAACGGGAGACTACGGTCTAGGAAAAAAATGGATGTTGTTGTCCCTCCTGGTGTCAGCGATAGAGCCACAATGCGAATGCAAGGAGAAGGTAACGTAGACAAGAGAAGGTACAGGAGAATCTGCTATTATCATTTCTGATAATTAGTGCTCTGGCAATTGGTTGTTTCCAACATGGTTTCTGTTTTCTGTAGTGGAAGAGCTGGTGACTTGTTCATCGTACTTCAAGTTGATGAGAAGCGTGGAATTCGGCGGGAAGGGCTTAATTTATACTCCAATATCAACATAGATTTCACAGATGCTATACTTGGGGTGACCACAAAGGTAATTTATAAACTTGTTTCTTGCTTTTGACATGACTCGGAAGTAAGAATCTTGTAGGCACATGACATCTTTCTCTTTCAGGTAGAAACGGTTGAGGGAACAATGGATCTTCGAATTCCGCCAGGAACTCAGCCTGGCGACACCGTTAAATTACCTAGGAAAGGAGTTCCAGACACAGATAGACCTTCAATCCGGGGAGACCATTGCTTTGTAGTGAAGGTTTCGATCCCCAAAAAACTGAGGTTTGTGTCACATCACTTCCCTTTTATCCCTTTATGTCGTATTGTTTAGTAAAAACTGATTGAAACATCGTAAATGGCAGCGAGAGGGAGCGCAAGTTGGTAGAGGAGTTCTCGTTGCTCAGAAGATCTAGTAGTAGTACTGGACCTAATGGTACAACTCTATCCGAATCTAATTCAGAAACTTATATTTTTATAGAAAATTTTGAAATTTATAATTCCCACTTGTAGAAACTCGTCAAGAGGAGCATAGTTTCGGCTCAAAGCCCAGAAAAGAACCACCGTCTTTGTGGCATAAAATGAAGAATTTCATAAGGTAATCTCATGAAACCTTTCTCAGTAGTTCAGCAAAAGACGCAACATTGTTGTCTTGTCCATGAATATTGTTCTGATCTATAGTTTTAAATGTCACGTGTTTTGTAGACCAGAAGATTCAAGAACGAAATTTGGGACTATGAGCTTGAACCCAACGTTACCACTACGAGGAATGAAAGTGTCAGAGACTTCAATTGTTCTCTCAGTCTTGGCTCTCTGTGTTATAACCTCGGCTGTTACATTAGTTCAGGGTAATCGCTCGAAACAAAAGAAAGAAACTTAATGCTCCACCATTACTCTAGGATTTACATATTTGTCTTATTCAGATCCATTGTACGATTATATTTTTGTCAACGTGACAATCAAAATTTATTTAGTTTAAAAATTAATACTTTAAAATATAAGCTCGAAATTACATTAACTCATTTAAACTTTAAAGTAATAATCACAATCAAAATTTGTATGTGAACGCACCAAAATGTAAAGAAATAAGAGTTTCAAATACATAAAATAATGAAATATTTTGGGTTCATTCACCCCGTTTTAATTAACTAATCAAAATACAACAATATACTATATCAGAAAACAAAATAAATTAAAAAAACAAAATCTGTATATTTTTAATTAAACAAGGTTAAATATCGGTTTGTGTTTATAAATAAAAGTTTGAGTTTAGATTTTACAATTAAACGAAATTAATTATATGTCGGTTAGGGTTTATAAAAGAATATTTAGGGTTTAAATTTTATAATTAAACAAAATTCTATGTCGATTTGGGTTTATAAAAATGAGATTTAGGGTTTAGATTTTATAATTAAACAAAAATATATGTCAGTTTGGGTTTATAAAAGAGTGATTAGGGTTTAAATTTTACAATTACATAGAATTATATGTCGGTTTGGATTTATAAAAGAATGGTTAGAGTTTAGATTTTACAATGAATTCAATTTAGGGGGTTAGTGAATTAATATTTTATTATTTAGATAATATTAATTATTTTAGTTTGTTTGATTAGATTATATGGTAAATTTTCATTGGCTAATTAAGAGGGGGTAAATAACAGATTTCACTCGGAATGAGGTTGTGGCTATTTACCGTGAACACAGTTGATTTGTTTCCTACTTCAGTATAACTTTTAGGTCCTGGACCATTCGTACAAAGTTTGTTCTTTTATCTTGATATCGCAAGATTTAGAGACGGCTATGCATGAGTCAATGTTCAGGAAGAAAGAAGAAGAGATTGCAGATGAAAGAGATTGGTACGTTTTCTTTATTTATCCTTTTTGGGTTACTTTGATATATTATTCACTTCTTTTTAATTGGGCTTGTTAGAGTATGTGCATGGCGAAAGACTTTAATGTTGAATACCCACGCGTATTGTTTAGAAAATTGTTAAGAAAAAATGATGTTGAATGTTCTTATTGCTAATTTATGTTTTTTTTTTATTATCGTGTATTTAATAAAATTAGATCCATCTTATGTAGTTACAATTTTTATAGTTACATTTATTTTTGACTCGAAATATCAATTTATAAAATTTCATGTATAAATCTGATCATTTATATATCTAAGATCCTAATATTTTTTCATTATCATGACTACATACAACAACAATATAGAATATTTTAATATAGTGATATATAATTATTGTACTTGTGTAGTTTGAAATTTTTCTAACTTAATTATAAATAAAAAAAATTCAGTGCTTTATCTACTCTCATTATCTAGTACTTCGGCCACATCATGATAGGTTCATGATTAAATACTGGATTGATATAATTTGAACAAGATCTCAAGAGTTTTCATATGAAAAAAAAAAAAGAAAGCAAAAATTAAAGAGTCATTTAAGTTAGTACTTTTAGATCTTGTACCATTGCATATAGCCATATAAAATAAATAGTCATTTCTTGAATTCCTTGGTATGTCTAACATCTCAAAGACCTAATCATGAGAAAAAACTCAATGTAAAAATTTTAAACTAATAAGATGTTAAGGAGCAAACAACTAACTACAACACAAATAAATTTTCAGTCATTAGTGACCATTGATAAAAAAAATTGAGTAAAATAAGAAGAGTAAATTGAAAGTAGTGCTTGATTTATTAACATAATTATATAATTTTTATATTTTGAAGATATAAGTTAGGGAATTTTGCCAAATGTACCATATTTTGGGAAAATCCTAGCAAATGTACCACATTTGAAATGGATTTAGCATCCATACCACATTTGGTGTTTGTGTGGCAACTCTTGGACGATTTTGCCCTTCTCTGTGCGTCAGGTATGTGTCAGAGGAAGGAGCTACAGTAGACGCCGGTTGGGAAACGGGGACAACTTTGTGTCAGAGAAGGACAACTTTGTCTGAAAGACAACTTTGTGTCAGAGAAGAAGGACAAAACATTGCATTAAATGCAGTTTACATTTACCATGGACAATAATTATGAAATAGAGTGAATGATGTCCCCCAAGAATAAGTTCAGATCTCTTGATTGTCCATCGCCAGATGATGTGGTTTTACCAGCCAGAGATCTGGATTTACTCGGGGACAACTTCTCTTGATTGTCCATCGCCAGATGATGTGGTTTTACCAGCCAGAGATCTGAATTTACTTGGAGACAACTTGATCTTTATTTTATTCCGCCAAAGAGCCGAAGACGAAGATCTGGATTTACTCGGGGACAACTTTGTTTTACCAGAGGGACGAAAACGGTTACCAATGCGTTAGGAGAGAGACTGTGGACGGCAGAAAATTCGGAGACTACGAAGATCTGGATTTATTCGGGGACAACTTTGTTTTACCAACCAGAGGGACGAAAACGGTTACCAATGCGCCAGGAGAGAGAAAAAGGACGGCAGACTGTAGCTCCTTCCCCTGACACATTCCTGACGCAGCCAGAAGGGTAGTTTCGTCTTTCCAGATGACGAATGTGGTATGGATGCTAAGTGGACTCAGAAAGTGGTACTGGGCCTAAACTTTTTGAAAAAAGTGGTACTGAGGCTAATTTTCCCTATAAGTTAAGAGTAGGATCGATGGAAGATTTAATGCAATAAAAAACCTTTTTTCTCATTTAATTTTGCTAATTTTTTTATTTAGATAATGTAAAATGACACATGTCATTTGTTTGTGTGATGATGTGGAACTCATATGGAGAGAGTTGGCCAACTTTCATATATATCATTATTTTAATATATAAAATATAATTTAATTGTTTATTTAAATTTTAAATAAACAAAAAAAATTAAAACTAATAATATGTTGACATGTATAAAAACAGTCACTCAAGATGTTCTTATTTGAGAATCGATTCTCATCTCTTTCATCTATTTTTTTTTAATTGTGATGAACCAGTATCAGAATCATGCAATGCACATGCTCTTAGTTTGGACCTTGAATAGGGGCATAAATTGGATTTACTCATGCCACTTTACTTCTTCCCAATGATGGTGATACTTTTGCAAGGAGAACTCATCACCGAAATCACGGAAACACTAGTTGTTACCAGCAGCATATGAAGTAAATGGAGAAAACGAAGATGGCACTGGTGATGAGGGATCAGAACCAGCTTAAACCGTGACCGAACTCTTTTTCCAAGAAGAATCATATGCTTTGAACTTAATTCGGTCATCTTCTTTACCTAGTGTTGTTGAATTTACGAATTTGATTAAACCTAAACGGAAGTATTGAGATATGAATTTACAGAACGCCCGGAGATTTCATTGAAATGTGTTTTTTTTTTCTTGGGTTCTCTATCATAAATGAAGTGTTGTTTAGGACGATTGTTTAAAACTGGAGAACTTTAATTTGCTTTTTTTTGTATCTCATTTGGGGAACCTTTTGATGCAATCAAGAAAAGGTTTCCTATAATCCCATATCTATTAGTATAGTCTTTTATTGCTTAGTGGGTCTCAACACAGCTACTATACTTAGTACTTACATTATGACTAAACGTCTTTATCTTCCAAAGTAAAACAATAGTAAGGACAGCTAGAGAGAAAAAAACGCAACTCAATAGTATCTTTTTTGTTAAATGGCTTAAAAACAACTAAATATTCCAACTACCAAACTGTTTATCCACATGTGCGATCGAAAATAGATTCACTAAATTACTAAACTTCATAAAGTTTTACTCTTTCTTCGGAAATGTAACGCCCAACTACATATCAATGTAACCGTCGTGAATCTTTATTTTTATCTTTCATTGTAAATGATCCAAAATATAAATCACAATAATATTACTTTTGTGGACCATATGATATAATTTACTCGATGGAAAGAAAAATTGGTAAGATAGTAAGATTAATGGGACCCTTTTGATTGATGATGATACAGAATTGATATGCAGAGAGTAGAGACAATCACAAAACAGAGAATGCGTTACTTGTTAAAAAAAAAACCTTTACTTTGAATGCTGTTAAATTATTGTTGTTGGCTTTTTTACATGTTTATGGTCCTACCATTCTCTGCATACCCATGTTCTTTTACAACCATGCATTATTATACTATATAGTAAGAAAATTCAATTTTATTATCAAAGAATCAAAAAGATACATAGAATTAAGTGTTATCTTGAGAAGAGGGATCCCCACTTTACTCAGATGCACAGGGAATTTCATAATCATAACACACCCACTTGCTAATCCGATTGATTATTAAACTTGATTTTTTGTAATGCAGTTAATAATCTTTAGCAGTTGGAATTTAGATAAGACAACACAGCTTAGAGGTACGAATGATATTATTCACATAAGATTCTATACATATCAATAAGTTAAACATAAACCAATAATAGAGAAAAGAAAAACAAATATTTTTGTCGAAGCATAAAAAGACAGACGTCACTGTTATATAGAAATGTCGTTTTTGTCACATTTACAAAAAAGATTTTAATTTTAAATTATTCAAAACTCGAAAAAAAAAAAAGTGGAGAAAAAGAGAAAGAGAGAGTGTTAAGTGTTGACTAGCTTCACTCTCTTCTCTGTAAACCACACACACAGCTTCTTCACTGAGAGCTTTTTTTCTAGGGTTTCTCTTTCTCTTTCACTCTCTCGTCGTTGCTTACAATGCGACTCTTCCTCACACCGTCAATGGCGAATCTCTCCATATTCCTTTCAATTCTTCTCCTCTCTCTTCCTCTTCCGTCAATCGGAGATCTCGCCGCCGACAAATCCGCTCTTCTCTCTCTTCGTTCCGCCGTCGGTGGTCGCACATTACTCTGGGACATCAAACAAATCTCACCATGCAACTGGACCGGCGTCGTATGCGAAGGTGGTCGTGTTACCGTCCTTCGTCTTCCCGGCGAAAAGCTCTCCGGTCATATACCGGAGGGTATTTTTGGTAATTTAACTCAGCTCCGTACGCTTAGTCTCCGTCTCAATGGTCTTACTGGTACTCTTCCTTTGGATCTCGGAAGCTGTTCCGATCTTCGGCGTTTGTACCTGCAGGGTAACAGATTCTCCGGTGAGATTCCGGAGGTTTTGTTTAGTCTTAGTAACCTCGTTAGGTTGAATCTAGCGGAGAATGAATTTACCGGCGAGATCTCTTCAGGGTTTAAAAACCTTACTAGGCTTAAGACTCTGTACTTGGAGAATAACAAGCTCTCTGGCTCTCTTCTTGATATGGATTTGCCTTTGGATCAGTTCAACGTTTCTAATAACTTGTTGAACGGATCTATACCTAAGAGTCTGCAGAAATTTGATTCTGATTCGTTTGTGGGAACTTCACTCTGTGGCAAACCGCTTGTTGTCTGCTCTAATGAAGGAACTGTGCCTAGCCAGCCAATTTCTGTTGGAAATATTCCCGGAACTCTTGAAGGAAGTAAGGGGGAGAAGAAAAAGAAGAAGCTTTCCGGTGGAGCAATAGCTGGAATAGTGATTGGATGTGTGGTTGGTTTCTCCCTGATTGTTCTGATTTTGATGGTTCTCTTTAGGAAAAAGGGGAACGAGAGAACAAGGGCCATCGACATTGCAACCATCAAGCAGCATGAAGTTGAAATTCCTGGCGAGAAAGCGGCCGTGGAAGCACAGGAGAATAGGAGCTATGGAAATGAGTACTCCCCGGCTGCGATGAAAGCCGTGGAAGTGAATAGTTCAGGGATGAAGAAGTTAGTGTTTTTTGGGAATGCGACAAAGGTTTTCGATCTTGAGGATCTGTTGAGAGCTTCGGCGGAGGTTCTGGGGAAAGGAACGTTCGGTACAGCGTATAAGGCTGTGCTTGACGCAGTTACATTGGTGGCTGTGAAGAGGCTGAAGGATGTGACGATGGCTGACAGAGAGTTCAAGGAGAAGATTGAGGTTGTTGGGGCGATGGACCATGAGAACTTGGTGCCCTTGAGAGCATACTATTACAGTGGAGACGAGAAGCTGCTTGTCTATGACTTCATGCCTATGGGAAGCTTGTCAGCTCTCTTACACGGTGAGAACTCTTTCTCTGCTAAAAGTTTGATTTTTCTTATCAATAGTTCTTTGCTGAATCTTAAGTTTGGCTATTTGCGGTATAATTAGTAATCAATTTGTTCGTTTACATTACTGTTAAGACAGAAATGACAAAGTTTTCTATCATGAAATGATTAGTTTGGTACTGCATCACATTGATATGGATTAGATTTATTGACAATTTGACATGATTCAGTGAAGAATTTATATCATATACTTGACATTCACATGGCTTACACAGGACGTCTGTGAATTAGTGGGGACAGTAGATAAACCTTGGATTCCTTGACTGGCAGGGACAGTGATAATTTATCTTCTAGAATTGTGTTTTGAACAATGAAACCTCCAGATTTCCTGTGTTCTAGTTTCAGACAATAGTTTTTTGTGTGTTGAGCTTAATGTCATGCTATGTTACAGGAAACAAAGGCGCAGGTCGGCCTCCATTGAACTGGGAAGTCAGATCAGGCATCGCCCTTGGAGCTGCTCGTGGCTTAGACTATCTTCACTCACAAGACCCACTGAGCTCTCACGGAAACGTCAAGTCTTCCAATATCCTCTTAACAAACTCCCATGACGCACGAGTGTCTGATTTTGGCCTGGCTCAGCTTGTAAGCGCCTCATCCACAACCCCAAACCGGGCCACTGGGTACCGTGCGCCAGAAGTAACTGACCCGAGGCGTGTCTCACAGAAAGCGGACGTGTACAGCTTTGGTGTGGTATTGCTGGAGCTTCTCACCGGAAAAGCGCCGTCTAACTCGGTGATGAACGAGGAAGGAATGGATTTGGCGAGGTGGGTGCATTCAGTGACGAGAGAGGAATGGAGGAATGAGGTTTTTGACTCGGAGCTGATGAGTATCGAGACAGTGGTCTCGGTGGAAGAAGAGATGGCGGAAATGCTGCAGTTGGGTATTGACTGTACAGAGCAGCACCCAGACAAGCGGCCAGTAATGGTGGAGGTGGTGAGGAGGATCCAGGAGTTGCGCCAATCGGGGTCAGATCGGGTGGGGTAAGACCATCAGATGAAACTTTGCTCATGGATCAGTTCGATGATATGAAACGACAGCGTTTTCGGTGTTTGATTATTAAGTGTTTAGTTTAAGAATATGGCGGGAATTAGAGTTGAGGTCGTTAATTAGCTGTTTTTAATTTTGGTGTTCTTTTTTATTTTCTTTCTTTCATGTGTGTGGCACTGATGATGAGGAGTTCGTTGTGGTTGTAATTATTAGTGCTTTTAACTTTAACTTTATTTTCAATATTGTTTCAGCTTTTTGCCTCTTTGATAAGATAGTATGCAGACAAAAAAAGAAGATAGTACAGTTTAAATTCATATTAATACACAGACTAACGGACATGAAACTTGTAATACAAATACAGGTGATAACAGTCTTTATATTCAAAGATTCACGTCTGGTTCTTGAAATCCAATGGCGTGACAGTTATTTGTATAAGTAGATATATTAGCTCAAAGGTTACACGATAATATGGCTGGATCCAAATGTATACATGGGGAGACTTTCGATGTCGTCTTGGTATCCGATTAGGGTTATTTCTTATCCAAGTCCAAGAAAAAGGTGGGTGCAAAATTGTAACTAAATTTGTTGAAGACAACTAAATAAATCTAAAAGGTTAAATTTGTTGAGAGGTTTAAATGGTATTTGAAATCATTAAAGGTTAAGTAGGTTGTGAACTCACTCTTATCTTTACATAGACCGATTGCTGCCACTGCTTACTCAAAAACGCAAACGCTACCTCACCACTCTCATGTCCTTGTGATTATAAAAATATGGGAAAAGTACCGATTCCGCGTTTGTGGCTGCGTCTCCATAATGTTACAATATCCGCTGTCTCCTCTCTTTTTTTTTTTTCCTCTTCCTGTCTCTGCAGATACAACACGTTGTCAATGCAAATGGAGCTTACTAGATTGATTTTGTGATTAACAGAAACGAACGACTTACATTTACAGAGTATACTAACAACGCCGGTAATGGCAGAGTACTCATTACACTGACTCACAGAAAACCAAAGGAATCGAGAAAAACATCCACGAAATGGATGTTACTTGTGATGCGGAATTTGTTGTGGCTCATCTTTCCAGCCTTTGGATAGAAGATCGTAGTTGATAGACGCCAACTGAGAGAGGTTCTGCAAAACCAAAAAGAGATAAACTCAGAATGCTAAGCATTGTGGTCTTAATACTCACTCAACCACTCACAATGATACAAGCTCACTTAAAATCCCTAGGCACAACAAAGACACACCAGTTTTCGAGTTGTCTGGAGGCAGAACCCACAAGTTCAAATCACTATCAATCAGTCCCTATAGTTCCTACATGTGAATCTGACATCTACCTACAGCCTAATACACATCCATGCTTCCAGATCTTCCAAGAAACATAACTTATGCTAAATTATATCTGTTGCCACAAACCTTTACAAAGATTTCAATCCAAAAATGAAATTTGAATATGGGAATATCAACAACTATATAAACCACCAACCAATTTTACACTTGGACAACATTTGATCTTAACAGGTCAGTCATGAGTTATTACCTTAAACGAGAAATTACTGAAAGAGTAATCTACAGGTACGCCAGACTCAAACTCTGCATGTCCTTCACATTCTTCAGCCTGCGTAGCAACATTGATCCCGTTCAAGGAAATTGCACATCCAACGAACATTAAAGATAAAGAGTTTTCCGGCTAATTCTAATCAGGTAACATGCAAAGAGTGGATTAACAGATGTTACCTCCCCTTCTTCATGATGATTGCTCGAGCAACCACTGCTGCCAGTCGAGCTACCAGCATCAATATAATCTTGAACCTCACCGCTCGGGAAAAATTGCTCATCTGATGTGTTCCACGAGTAGCGACTTCTGAAGTAACTTGTGTCAATTGCACTCTCTGAAGCCGGAACAAATGCAGCCTAAAGAATACTAGTGTCAAGCTTTAAGAAGGCACCAAGTAGCAAAGCTTATATTTTTAATAGAATAGGATAAATAAATGCACCTTTTGCCTTGCTAGTGTGTCCCAGTTGATGTCTTTAAAAAAGATGTGCTGCTTGACCTGAGTGATGAAATTAATGTCATTAACAGTTTACAACTTGTTGGAACTATTGATCACAGGAAAAGCCATCCATTTTTACCTCAGCTGCCCCTCTAGCTCCAAGTCTCTGATGTGGATCTTCTGTTAAAAATCTAGAAAAAGAAGACAACATGATGGAACAGACAATAAGAACCTGTCTTTTTCTCTATGGAGTTAAGACTCAATATTGTCTATGGACGGTAACATAGAATATCTCTTACCGGTCAATAATATCATGAGCTTCAGCACTCATTTCTTCTGGAACATGAGGCCATGGTATCTTACGGTTGAGAATATTGTCAAATATTTGCTAAAACATACCAAAGAAAATGCACATCAATGTTGGAAACTGAAAGTAGACGCACAGTGCTCTGTATAGCAACATATGTACTGATTTAAAATAAAAGTTGGGAAGCCAATACCAAAAAAAAAACATGACATTTGAAGACCAGCCCAATTATGAATTTTAGTTCCTCAGATTTTGAGAAAACATATGTTCCTCTATCAAAGCATAAACAAGAAACAAAGCAATGATTAGTCCTGACCTGAGGATGTTCCGCATTGAAGGGTGGAATTCCCACAATGAGTTCAAACAGAATGATGCCAACAGACCACCAATCCGCAGTTGCACCTGAATGATAATGCAAGTATAAATTATATTTTGTAGTCTTGGCATGTGATAAACGAAACGGAATTATCTGAAACAATTTCCCCACAAGCCTAGAGCAAGAAAATATTATGAAAGTCAGTGCTCCAGAGTACTTAGCATATAACCCTTCTACTTACACCAAATTCGTAGAGTAGAAATGAATTTGTAGTAGCTTCTTTTTCTACTCAAATTACCAATCTCAGCTAAGTACCAATAATTCTACTAAACAAACAATCTTGAATAAAAGACAAGCATCCACCAAGATTAGACATGGGTACGCACCATGTCCTGTCCCTAAAAGAATTTCTGGCGCTAAGTAATCAGGAGTACCCACAGCAGACCGTTTCTTGCGCCTTTCAAGTTGTTCCTCAGATGCCGCTAATCGTGAATCCTCCTCATCAAGCAGAGACGTCCCACTTACAGCAGGACCAGCCAGATCATCCGTGCTGTTGATGAGACCAACTTTAGAGAGCCCGAAATCTGTTAACTGCTCAGATAAAAGAAAGAAACAATAGGTCTTAAATTAAAAGTCTCTCATACGTGGAAAGGCTAATATCAAGAAAGAATAATTCTTACAATGGAAAAATATACCTTTATATGACCATCATGCGCAATCAACAAATTATCCGGCTTCAAATCACGGTGAACAACACCCTCAGAATGCAAATATTCCAAAGCAAGGACCTGGTATAGATATTCATCATGAAATCACTTTATAGAGCTCTGTGGAATGAACTGTTAATAAAATAAACATGTGGAAACTTACAACTTCAGCAATATATACACGGACAATATCTTCCTCTAAGCAACCTAAATTTCTCAACAATGAATACAGGTCCCCTCCATTCAGATACTCCATCACCAGATACAGGTTGTCACGACACGTGAAAGAATAGAAGAAACGAACCTGGTCAAAACAAAGTCATGTTAAAAAAGTAAAAATCTTCTGAGAATATGCTTAAAAGGCTAGACCTGCTCACCACAAAGGGATTGCGAACGTTGATCAATATATCACGTTCAGCAAGTATACTTTCAACAGCATTCTTACGAATCATATCTGCCTTTTTCAGAACCTGTGGAGCAAGGCCGACATTGAACACAATATTAGAGAAAACACTAACTAAAGATTTTGCATACCACGTTAGCCTAACTACAAAAAGAAGAATCTTTTGTAAGAAGAGAACGAACCGAAAAGAGAACAAAAGCAGTGTTTACCTTGATTGCAAATAGATCTCCTGTTGTCCTCTTCTTCGCTAGAAAAACTCGCCCAAAAGCTCCCCGGCTTATTGGTTTTATGATCTCAAAATCATCAATAGATGTGCGGTCTCGCGGATGTACCGGGCTGGTCCTCAAGCTCCGAACAACATCATCTTCTAGGGGAGCATCTTCATCAATTACAGTGCTTAGTAGATCAACTTTTTCATCTTCCATAAGCTCACACATATGCAGATATTTCTCCCTACATAATCAGGAAAATTTTACTTAAGACACATTCTGATGTGATTAATTTATAATTTCACTTACAAAAGAATATTTCTGGAAAGCCATAAAACGTTCTCACCGGATCAATTTTTCTATGCGAGTCCCAAAAGTTTCTACTGTAAGTGCATCAAACTTTCTGCGGTCTATAACAACCCTCAGATCTTCAAGACAAGAAAGTAAGAATGGAATGGATTGATCATCACCCGGAATGGCATCTGCTGCACATTTTGCAATGTCAGCAAGTTCACTCATCTGCGTTATCGGTTTTCAAGGGTTTCTTCATCAGAGGGTATTCAATAACAAGAGACAAGAAAACTTATGAACATGGAGCACAACCAACACAAACCTGTGGAATATCATCTTGATCGTGGAATGTACTTTTGCCTCCTAATATATGTTCAATTGGATCAGGCCTAGGGGTTGGAATCGGGGATCTAGGAGTCATGCTACTGGCAGATGAAGTTGTCATACCTTGATCAGACTTGGGACCAAAACGGGTTCTACATGACATTAACGGTAAACCTCTCAGATCATCCATAAAAATTGAATTATCAGCCTCCGTGAAACAGTCAAGCATGTCTTCTGACCCTCTTCGCGACCAATCACTCAACCTTGGAGAGAGAACATCAGATTCTTCAGTCAAATGTGAATTGGATACTTTCATACCATCTGGGCTTTCTGCGGCTGCTAGGCTATCCTTATGTCTGAAGGTCTCTGCTATCTTGTCAAGTGTTCCGGCAACTGCCATCAACCGCTCATCAACACTCAGTCCTTTCTGGTCATATTTATCAGCCAATGTACAAACCCTAGAGTGATCTTCCACATGTGTTGTGGGAACTTCCTCCTCACAGATACGGCACATTATTGAACTTTCCTCTGAAATAAGGGGTTGTTCTCCCCAGTAACCCCAAGAAATATTGTGCCGATGCTTGGAGTGTTCATGAGAATCTTTTGCTGGAGGATAGTTGAGAATAGCAACAGCCGCATCATCGCTAGCTTGTCGATTCCCAACCATATTTGGAGGTTCAACTTTGATATCATTCTGCTCATCTGACGCTGGCGCTTCTTTCACAGTTTTCAGTGCTGGAGATGGAAGTTTTTTCCAGGAAGACATTCTATCAATGTTTGCAGGAGATTCAGATTCCTTAAGAGCATAATTTTCAGTCGAAGAGAGAGGGGGAACTGAGCGTAAAACAGCGTCTTCCTTCCAGTCCAAACCACTCTGCTCCTGACTATAAGCTTTCTTGGTAGATGGTACCTTTAAGACCTTTGCAGCACTGGAACTCCTTCCCGCTCCAGTAGGAGGTATTTTCTCTATAGAATGCAAGACTCTTGACTGACGTAGTTGTACAACTTGTTCCTCCTCCCCCCAGCTTTCCTTATGAAACTGAAGTAATCTAGTACATCTGGTAAGGATAAAAAGCATCCGAGTATGAAGCTGCTTGAGGACGCCCGGAGGAAGCTCTTGACGTCTATCATCTAAGTCCTGAACAATGCCTTCACACTGAAGCCAGAAATCTCCAGGAGTAGTCATAGCACAACTTCGAGCCAAAATTAGTAAGTCTTCAAATGTTTCCTCCCACTCAGGATGGCTTTCTGCATTTTTCTCGAGAACTCCCACCAGGTCCGCTGCAAATACTGCAAGGTCAGAGTTTACTTCTTCCTTTGCTTTATCAAATTTTGCTCGAATCAGAACCAATATTTCCTGGAAAAGACAGACGATTAGATTCTGCATTCAAAAACGATCACAAGGGGATAATAGAGATAGGGGACTTTAGAATACCTCCACATTGTTCGACCTACGAGGCTTCCATAATGGAAAGGGTCGTACGCCTTTTGAGTTTAACTCATGAGAAAAGCTCTTGATGTCACCAGGAAACCTCTTTCGTGGAGCACTGGTCATACGAAGTAAGGCTTGATAACGTGGTGATTCTGATTCTTTGGGATTTTCCCATTCATATGAATTCTAGAAAGATAAACGTCAAGTCACCAATACCATTTAAAAGCTAAAATTTATACAAATATCACAAACTACTAAAAAAAAGATGTGATGGAGAATAATGGGGTACCTCTGGGGTGCAAAAGTCTGAATTTCTTAGAGGGCCAGAGCGACCGGATGACATCTCAGAGCGACCTGTGAAGTAGCAACAAAAACAAACTTGAGAAATAAGAACTGAAAATCTAACAGGTGGCACAAATGATCTGGATACATTACACTATAAGATGCATTTACGCAGTGATTAAGTTCCACTTACTAACACACAGATGCAGATTTTCAAAAGTAGCAAGCCTCTGATACCTTACAAGCTAACATACTCATAACAGGCAGAACAATGAACAAGTTTATCGCAAGTACCAGTACAGCAAGCTGCCAATGCGTACTTCTCTCATATTTCCCATTTAACATCTAAGCAACCAACCATTTCAAGATTGAGACAAAAACATTGCTTCCCCCCCACCAACCATTTCAAGATGTTATTATTAATATCTAAGGACGTACCAGTTCCCGATGAGGATGCTACATTCTGCAATCGAGATCCTGATGCCGGCAAAGTAGGGCTGAGGCTCCTCGGTGGTCCAGTATCAGGAGATAAACTATCACGATCACTCTTATTGTCACTTGGTCGAGTGCGACCCATGTTCTCTTCTAACCCTAGCTTGCTACTCCCAGCTTCTTTCTTTCTATTGCCACTACCAGAGCCAGAAGTGGCTGAACCCGAGCCCAAGTCACCATCAGCACCCATCTTCGACAAATTGCTCGTAGCCGGATCATTCCTATAGTTGAAAACCCTTTCTTGTGGCAACGGTCCGGATCTCGTCTTAATCCGGTTCAAACCCAGAGACGAAGCCATGATAGGAGACACAAAAGCAGGTCCTTCCTTCACCTCCGGCGGCGGTGGTTTCTTCGCCTCAGAACTAGGAGACAAGTTCGATTTTCCGATAGAGTGAGCTTGAACTTCAGATGAAAGTTGTTTACCCTTAGATGAACCATCCTTCTTCTTCAAACCATCTTTAATCTGCGTCTGCTTGCAACCAACCCCAGGATTAGGGATCGGAGGTTCATCCTTGGAAGCAGATTTAGACTTCTTCTTATCTGATCGTATGGGAGAGTTGGAGCCAACAGATCTGGGACTATTAGAGCTATCGGGACTAGAAGATCCAGATTTCTTCGAAGAGAAGAAGAGCTTGTTCTTGAATACCATTTTTCGATTTTCGCTGATTCAAAAACCTAATCGCTACACACTACACACCAAATCCAACCATAAATCCAGTTGCCAATTTCTACACTCGGACTTCACGAGAACAAATAGCTTTCTCTCTCACTCGCTGTGACTCTCTGGAAGATCTTCAGAGCTAACGAGGTTAAGGATTTTGAGGAAGCGACGAGGAAGAGGAAGAGGAAGAAGAAGGCGTAACTGTTATAGTGGGAAGCCTAGATTCAGTGCTTACTAATTTAATTACTTGAATTGGAAAACAGTCAATTCTTGGTTAAGACTAAATTTTGACTTTTTGATTACAATTTTTAAACTAAAATTCATTTTATTCAATCATATTTCTTAACAAAACAACTCATTTTCATATAAATCCGCTAATACAACACATTTGTTTTTGGTAAGTCCCGCTAATACAACACATTAATCAATATCCCTCGTTTCTCACATACTATTAAATAAATGAAAATAAAAAGTTTAAATGCTGCTGATCTACAACTACAAGATGTGCTCTGGCTTATGTGAATCCCAAAAGTTGCCACTAACAAGTGCATGCATCCTGCATCCAACTTTATGCGGTCCATGGCAATTAACAAATCCTCATTGGCTCATTGCCATACAAATTTATTATGACTATTAGATTTGGGCCATCCCTTATACCATTTTGGGCCCATATTAGTCGGACTTTCATATATTTTAAAGCTGAGTTTTTTTCGCAGTACAGTAGTGGACATGTCAAGGGAGAAGAGTTAGGCAAAATGATCTCACAAGTCACAAAGATGGTTCAAGATAAGTTCAATTCATTAATATTTAGCTTAAAAAAATACTGTAAAAATAAAAATAATCACAAAAAATTATTTTTACAGTATTTTTTTTAAGCTAAATACTAATGAATTGTTCACGTTAAAAAAGTTATAACATTTATATCTCAGTTAATAACATTACTACCTTTTTTACTTTTGAACGTTTTATAACTGTTTTATGAAAACTATATCAAATTCAGATTTTTTTTTTTTTTTTTTTTTTCTATTCAATTATCGTTCAGTTTGAATCCAAATTTTTGTTTGACAAAATAAATTACGATGTAATGGTATTGGGCCTAATGGTATGAATCATGAGTTTATTCTAGTATTCTACTACTTGCATGTGAATTAGATCAACATGGTGTTTTTCTCATTACTCAAAAACTTCCATCGTTGCGATATTGAATTGTCAGAACTCGAAAAAAATACATTATTTTTTAGCTCAATTCCATCATATGAAAACTCAAATAGATGGATGAAATATACAAAAGTCTAAAACAAGATTAGCAGCTCTATATATAGATAACCGAAGGCAAAGGTAATTGTTTAGAATTTCGCAAAAGCACGACATGTAGGACAAACATGCACTCTTCAAAAGCCATTTATCAATACAATCACGGCGGAATTTGTGCATGCAATCTCTTAGCCTAACATAACCAAAACCTATAGTGACATCTTCGAGACATATTGGGCAAACTTCTTCTTCGTCTTTCCCTAAACTCTCCTTGTTCTTCTCCACCGCACAGCTCTCTCTAACTTCTGTGAAATTCCAAAGCGTGGAGATACATTTTGGCCCTTGAATCTTCTCAGCTTTATACGTACATCAGCGTAAATTATTGCGGAGAAGCAAACGGCGGAGAAGCAAACGGCGGAGAAGTAAACGGTGAAGCCGTAAAGAAGGGCCGAAATTAACAAACGAGTCGACATATGATGTTAAGAGCCCACGAATGACTAATTAATTGTTTTTGGATGTCCACAATAACTAGCATATAAGTTTATAACTTTATATATATATAAAAAAACGCTCATGTAAGTAATAACATATGAGAAATGCCCATAACATTAAGGAGGAAGATCCTCCAACTAGCAAACTAAATATTGAAGTCTCTTTTCTGGATCTGGCTCGACGAGAACCAGGAGGAGCCGTCAAAGGATCCATTGAAGAACCAAATTAAAAATAGCCAAATATTGCAAGTACTAGAGTCAATCCAAATCTAGTTAGATGCTGCTATATATACAGGGCCGTGACAATGAGTAAAAAAAAAAAGCATTTGCCTTAAGCTCCCTCTAAATTAATCAAATTTTGACCCCAAATTTTAATAATTATATAGAATATTAGTAAAATATTTTTATTTTTAGTGTTCTTTTTCTTAAGTTTGAAATTTGTTTAATACATCAAAACTATTTTTACTTATCTCTAATAATTTACAATAAAATATTTTTTAATTTTAGTATTTTCATAGATAAAAAGTGTTAACTAAGAAAATAAAATACAAAAATTGTATAAAATTATATATTTATAGTTAATTGTACAAAATGTTAATTTCATAGTGTTAAATATCTCTAATTTATTACAAAAAATATTTTTAGTTATAGTTATAAGTTATAACACATTTTATTATGAAAATGTATATACTATCTCGTTCTTTTTTTTTGCCTTACGCCACCAAAACTTTAGGCATTGCCCTGCCCCTGTATATATATCATGCATATACATATGTCCCTTGATTTTCTCTTTGCCATTATTGATTCTGTTATCATATCTTTTTGATATCCGACTCTTTTATTCTCATTCGATTTTAGTACAAACTACAAATTATTAAAATTGTTGTTAAACAGACGTTGCTGTTGAGTTTGGTTTAGAATCGATCGAGTTAGGTTTGGTTTTGGTTGGAGAAAAGTTTTCGTTGTTAAGCCAAACTGATCGTTACCGTTAAAAAAAATGTTGTGGTAGTCATAGTAAACTATTTTATTGTTTGATACTAAAACAGTAAAACCAGAATTAGATGATGTGAAAACAGAAAACAAGAAATAAATTTCGGATGTTTTATGTGGATCATAGCGTGAAAGATACGTTTATGGCATCTTTTGATAAAATCTTCGCTTTGTAGGTCCACTTTTGATCTGATCTATTATCTATATGGAATGTTGTGTATATTATTAACTGCAGTGTAGTATTTTCTTAATAATGTTATATTAATATCTAAATTATAGGCTGGAGAAAATGACGTGTGCTACATATCCCCCAGACTCGAATTAACGATGTTACTATCGTGGGAGAGGATCGCCAAATTTTTTTTTGTTGGGAACTTGTGATTGGCTTCCATTTTAAATAAACTTTTATTTTTTGTATTTGAAATTTTAAATAATCCTTTTTATAAATCAATTCAAAACTTTACGACAAAAAAAAAAATCAATTCAAAACTTTATTACTATATTGTGAGATAATTAGATATGTTTTAAAACATTAGTATAATATAGGTTTACTAAACTAATAAGAAAGTGACGCACGAAATGGCGTAATTTCCTCCCCTCGACCACATGCATCTATAAATACACAAAAACGATGTCAACGAGTGATTTTAGTAATATTTACATTAAAAAAAAACATTTTCTTTTGGCACCAATAATTACCTTAATATACAAGTATAGTTTAAGCAACATTCTTTATTAATTTATCGCAGAAAACATAGATAATATATTAATAAAAGTACAGTGACAGAAAACAAGAATTTAAAATTGGATTTTATATTAGAATAATGACATAATCACATGGGGATTTATATTAATAATGTTGAGTTGTGGAACTAAATTTCCGCAACAATTATTTGTTTGTATTTAAATCATTTTATGAAAGTTGGATTTGAAATTCTAATCTTTAAAATTACTGTAGTACCATCCGGTTAATCGAAGATTTAAAATATAGTACTAAAATACAAATTAATATATTGTGCCAAAAAATGCAACGTGCAAATGTTTATCTTGGTCAAGAGAGAACGTGCACGAAAGTGGTAGTAACTAATTTTAGATTGAGCGGTGAGACAAAAGGGTTTATAGTCACGCGCTCCATTTAGCGCGTCAGCCGACAAAAGAAAGTGTTGTCATTGAATAAAAAATAAATTAAATTAATTAAAACTGCCGCTTCGCATCTCGTGAATCATTCACGTTAAAATAGCGCACGTGCCTCGACACGTGTCTCACCACGAAAAGAAACGCCACACACTGCACGACGATGCACGTGCCTATTTGACCGACTATATCCGGTGACTTAACCGGGACAACCTGTAGCTGGTTTTTGCGCCAATAGGATATGAGAAAAAAGAATCTTTTGTTGTTTAATTATTACAAAACTGAAGTAAAGTTAATGGTACTATTCACATGTGGCATGCGATTTGTTAATAAAACTAGATATTTCGGTGAATTAACTTCATTCCACGTTTTTTCATTTTCTCCCTCAAAAGTCTCTGTTTATTTCCCTTTTTCCGGCGAAGCTATATTAGCTGATTCCGGCGTTTAACACGCGTTTTAATCCGAGAGATTTGAGATCGAATTATATTGTAACGTTGTGTGGTTTTCTCTGCGGTTTAATATAGATGGAGAGAGATTTTCTCGGGTTGGGTTCGAAAAATTCTCCGATCACTGTCAAGGAGGAAACCAGCGAAAGCTCTAGAGATTCAGGTTATTTATTCCTCTTCAATTTTCTAAATCCGGTTGTTTTTAAATCTCTCTGTTTTGGCTAATAGGCTAATTCCATAATCAAATCGTCGTTTTGTTTGATTGATTAAGAGTTAGTAGTATGGATTGATTAAGAGTTAGTAGTAATTTTATGACTTTCTCGGGAATTGGAATTGTCAGATTGTCTCTTGGAGCAGAACATTGTCCTTTGCTTTTCTCGGGAGATGTAGAATTTGGATTTTGAAAAACTAATACTAGTGTGCTTTTAGAAATCCCTGTGTTAAACATGTGTTAGGTTGCAGAAATTAACGAGAACTAATCTCAAGCTTAGCTTGTGTTTTGTTACATAATCAAACTCGGTAAAATTTATTTACCAGAGTAAATTTTTTGTTTGGACTTTGAAGAGTCTTATAATTGAGAAATACTTTATTAGTTTATAGTACTATAAAAAACGAATACGTAAAATGTTGGAAAAGAGGGGATGAATAGAGACTGGTACAAAAATGATAAAATAGAGACGGTTGGTAGTAGGTAGAAAGACTAAATATACTTAAAAAAGTGTGAGTTGGATTAGTTTATAAGATGATTAAATATTGATTGTGTGTTGATTAAGCGAAACTGGTGTAGGATAATAGAATATTGTTCAAGGTACAATGGGGAAATAATAGTTTTCTCACCACGAGGAATAGAATTATTTCCACTTTGTTTTCTTATAAGCCAAAACGTGCCACACCATAAAAGTAGTGCATCGACATGTGGTGTGGTGGGGTTAAAGTTTGAATCTCTCTTTAATTTAAAACTAAAAAAACATATTTAAATTATTGTAGTTTCGTACAATGACTTTGAATAAATGTTTTAGAATTATACACGGTTTTCCAAAGTGGTTTTGCCTCGTTGAATTTGTCAACAGTATCAGATTCTACATTGTTGGTTACTAATCTTTTTCTTGGGTTTAGGTGTTGAATTAATCCTCTGTAGTTTATTATGTAAGAAGATCTCGAGACATTTATGGTTAAGAGTTACCACTCCATGTTTGACTTTTATACTGATAAGTTCGATTGTTTCCTTTTTTTCTTTTGTAGCTCCCAATAGAGGAATGAATTGGTCGTTCTCAAACAAAGTATCTGCTGCTTCTTCTCAGTTTCTATCTTTCAGGCCATCTCAAGAAGATAGACATAGAAAGTCTGGAAATTATCATCTGCCTCACTCTGCTTCCTTCATGCCATCATCAGTAGCTGATGTATATGATTCAAACCGCAAAGCTCCTTACAGTTCTGTACAGGTATTTGTCATCAAAGCCTATGTTAACCAAGACCCTTTTATGACCATATAGCAATTGGTTTTGGTCTAGTTTGGCACAAGTTTTTGTTGTGAATTGTGATCCCACGTGGATCAACAATGGTGTTGCTATGTTGGTAGGTGTGGATCTAATCTTGGTTTAATAAGTTAGTTCATACAATTGCCTCACACCTACGTTATTACTTGTTACTCTCAGGGAGTGAGGATGTTCCCTAATTCCAATCAACACGAAGAAACTAACGCAGTTTCCATGTCCATGCCGGGTTTCCAGTCTCATCATTATGCACCAGGAGGAAGAAGCTTCATGAACAATAACAATAACTCACAACCTTTGGTAGGAGTTCCTATCATGGCACCTCCAATTTCAATCCTTCCCCCTCCAGGTTCCATTGTAGGGACAACTGATATTAGGTACCCACTAGTCATCATATCATATCCTGTGGTTACAGAAACTCTTTCTACATTATCATAGTTGACTAAAGAGTTATTTTTAATTGTCAGATCTTCTTCCAAGCCAATAGGGTCACCTGCGCAGTTGACGATCTTTTATGCCGGTTCAGTTTGTGTTTACGATGACATATCTCCTGATAAGGTAACTCAATTTTCTTCCATATATGAATCTCTTTTACTCATAACTCGTAAGGTATGGTAGTACTCATTTGCTTTATTCTTTCATTTCTCAGGCAAAGGCTATAATGTTGCTAGCTGGGAACGGTTCCTCTATGCCTCAAGTCTTTTCACCGCCTCAAACTCATCAACAAGTGGTCCATCATGCTCGTGCCTCTGTCGATTCTTCAGCTATGCCTCCTAGCTTCATGCCTACAATATCTTATCTTAGCCCTGAAGCTGGAAGTAGCACAAACGGACTCAGAGCAACAAGAGGCTTGACATCAACATGCCACAACAACCAAACTAATGCATCCAATATTAACTGCCCAGTAGCAGTTCCTTGTTCTACCAACGTAGTAGCACCAACAGGTAAAAAACAAAGTCATAGACCTGATAATAAATTCACCATCTAGCTTACTAATATTTTCATGGTTGTAACTTCAGTCTCGTTCTGTTTCTTATGCAGTGGCTTTACCTCTGGCTCGCAAAGCATCTCTGGCTAGGTTTTTAGAGAAACGCAAAGAAAGGTACACAATACTTCTTCACAGAATACACCACTCAATAGTTTCTTGAGCTAACTCTCTTTCTCGCTTTGTGTTTTGCAGGGTCACTAGCGTATCGCCATATTGCTTAGACAAGAAGTCATCGACAGATTGTCGCAGATCAATGTCAGAATGCATTAGTTCTTCTCTCAGCTCTGCAACCTAATTTCATCTACAGTAAGAAGGCTGCTTTAGGCCACTCCACAGTCCACATCCATATTTGCATTTCAACGGCGGTCTTTTCAATTTCTCAGTTAATTTTGTTTTCTCTGGCTACACCGAGTTTCTTCTTAGCTTATATATACGATAGTGAATACTTTGTTTACGAGATTTTGGTCGAATGGACCTTATGAGAGCGAATCAGATATGTACTTTGGAAAATTAGTAGAAACTGTTTGTTTCTTTCTTTTTACTCTTTTCTTTTGTATATTATTATCAGTCGTATGTATAATTCATAAAATGGAATTGGTTCGCTTCTATTTCTCTAATAAATTTCTGTTCAAAATATGGAGACTTTTTTTGTTTTGTAGAATTAGCTAATTTGTACTATGGTTAACTATAAGCTTTGATACATTGCCAATTACCAACCAGCATTCACAAAAGAAATGACATGAGCATATTGGTATTCAACCAACCGGATATGAATTCAGTCGCGGTTAAGTTAACTCGAATACAAAACCGGTTCGACCGGTACACAACCACAAAGACTATGTTCGGTTTCGGCGACATTTTATTCAACGTTTTCCGAAGGAACACAGTCTAACCAAACCGATACGAGCAGACAGACACAGCTGATTTTCACCGGAAGGATTCTCTGATTTCAAAGCTTTTCAGAGAGAAGACAAAAGGCGGACTTCGATGGTGGATGCGAATCAGGTAGCTGAGCTGAGACGATTCATCGAGCAGTTGAAATCGAATCCTTCGATTCTGCACGATCCTTCTCTGATTTTCTTCAAAGAATATCTCCGAAGGTGATTGATTTTTCTCTGACTTCGTTTTCTTTCGCTGAATTTCATTCGTCAGTTGACTTTTTCAATGGAGCTGTTAGTTTCTTCTTTCTAATCGATGTTCGTTCCCGTCTACTCGTACAGTTTAGGAGCTCAAGTTCCGAAGATTGAGCAAACTGTAAGTTGTTCTTTGTTATGAAATTCTCCATGTTTGGGTTTCATATTTCTTCAGGGACTCGGTGTTTGGGTTTGGAGCTTTGGTTTAATTATTAGGTTACTCTTGTGTGTGCTACTTGAGTTTGAAATTGATTTACCAAAAACCTTTTCTAGGCTGAACACTATCTAAATGTTGATCGATGCTTCTTTTATCACACTAGAATGATGAACTTCATTGCAGGAAAGAGATTATGAAGAAAGGGCCGAGACAAAACCCAGTTTCTCTCCTAAACATGATGATGATGATGATGATATTATGGAGTCTGATGTTGAACTGGACAACTCTGATTTAGTTGAACCAGACAATGAGCCTCCTCAGCCGGTAGGTGTTGAAGTTATCATCTTTGGATGTTATCTGGTGGTTGTGTCTCTATGCAAATTTTTATCCTGATTTGTTTGATTTTACTTTATTTCCTTAGATGGGAGATCCTACAGCTGAAGTGACTGATGATAATAGGGATGAAGCTCAGTTAGAGAAGAGCAAAGCTATGGAGGCAATCTCTGATGGTACATAACCACCATTGAAATTGGTTTTGATTTATTTAGTTCATATGATTTCCCCAATGTCTCGTTAATGCTTGATTGGTATACAGGGAAGTTTGACGAAGGTATAGAATATCTAACAAAAGCCGTCATGCTAAACCCTACTTCAGCAATCCTCTACGCCACTAGAGGTAACTGTCTCTTACTCGGTTCTCTCTCCCTTTTCGGCTGAATGTGGGTGATCATTCTCAATATTTGTGATTGTTATCCTGCAGCTACTGTGTTTCTAAAAGTTAAGAAGCCAAATGCTGCAATTCGTGATGCCAACGTGGCTTTACAGGTTATCATTTCTCTTGAATCACATAAACTTGTTTTGTTTGTGCAAAAAATGGATTGGGAAAACAAGTTTATGTCTCATTAGTTTTATGGCTTAGGACAGTAGTTCAATATCTAAATGGTTTTCTTCCATAGACAAGCTAAACTAGTTTATATTTGGGTTTAGTTCAACCCTGATTCAGCTAAGGGGTACAAGTCACGAGGTATGGCTAGGGCCATGTTAGGCCAATGGGAAGATGCTGCAGCTGATCTACATGTAGCATCAAAATTAGATTACGATGAGGAGATAGGGACGATGCTTAAGAAGGTAACTGCGGAAACCTCTTCATATCACTGTATGCTCTTTGAGTTTTACAGTACCGAATATATGCTGAAAATGTGTACTTCACAGGTTGAACCCAATGCAAAGAGAATCGAAGAACACCGCAGAAAATATCAACGCCTGAGGAAAGAAAAGGAGCTCCAAAGGGCTGAACGCGAGAGACGACAACAGCAAGAAGCCCAGGTCAGACCGATCCATACCCATGATTAAAAAAATATTATGGCTTTGAATGGTTGTATATTATGCTGCAGACCGAACTAAAATCAGAGCAGTATGCACTTAATTCACCATTCACTATTCCGGACTAGTATGCACTGTTGCATACTAAAAATCTCCATACTAGTATGCACTTCAGCATACTTCTCCATACCATCATAAATTCACTGTTGGTACGCATTTTTTCATTCCACTTCCCAAAAGCTCCATACCAACATAAACTTCATACCAACATACAATTGTTTGCTCCATATTACAGTCCGACCTTTTGCATACTAAAATATTGGTATGCATTGTCCGGTCCGCACCATACCTACCAACCATTCAAGGCCTATGTCATTGTGTAGCTCTCTTTGTATAATTTTACATTCTTAGCAGAAAACACATAGGCCTGATTATTTTCTCCCTGTGAGAGTTAAAATATAACCTCTTTTGACATTATCAATTTCATATCATATCACACATCTCACGCTCATTCTCCTTGCTCTTGGATCCTATCAATGCAGGAGCGAGAAGCTCAGGCTGCACTCAATGACGGTAAACATTTTATCCTCTTCTTTCAACGGTTCTCTACTTCCTGATATTACTGCAAAGAACTACATGTGTCGGAACATTTATCTTTGAGTCTTGTCCCAATGAAGTGTCTGCGCTCAATAAGAATCAAAGCTCAATAAGCTCTTATTAACACTAAATCCACTTGATAAGGCCGCTAACCAGCTTGCTTATCCCGACTACAGTTTCATGTGCATCACTTACCTGGGAAATTCTGCAAATCCAGACCAGAACCATATAACCTCCCAACAAAAAAACATTTAGGGGATAGTTTAGTGGAAACTCCTGGTGTATTGACTTTAGGATATAGCCTCAGTAGCGTTCTGTTTCTTTAGGATACCGCTAGTTCCTCACGATTATATATGTTGATCACAAATATGCGACTCCAGGGTGAGAAAAAAGCAGCTTGCATGTATCTTAGATCCCAGTTACTCTCACAAAGCTTCATTTATAGCTTTTATAAAACCTAAAATGAAATTTGCATGTCAAAAAGGAAATGACCATCTTTTCTCCCTGATGATACAGGACAAGTGATTAGCATCCACTCAACAGGCGAGCTAGAAGCTAAGACAAAGGCCGCAAAGAAGGCATCGCGTCTGCTCATCCTTTACTTCACAGCCACATGGTGTGGACCGTGCCGTTATATGTCTCCTCTATACTCAAACCTGGCCACACAGCACCCAAGAGTCGTTTTCCTGAAAGTTGACATAGACGAGGCCAACGACGTGGCTGCTTCTTGGAACATTAGCAGCGTCCCAACCTTTTGCTTCATCAGAGATGGCAAAGAGGTGGACAAAGTTGTCGGAGCTGATAAAGGTTCGCTTGAGCAGAAGATTGCACAGCACTCTTCTTCTAAGTAATGGTTTCTCTCTTCAGTCATTACCCTCCTCTGGCTTGTTCTATATCTTTGCAATACAATTGTTGTCCCATAATCTAAAATTGTAGCATAGCTATTAAAGTACTTGTAATTGTTTACATGACAGAACAGATCAGTCCAATAAAAATATAAGAGGTAAAGAAGAATTAAGAGAGCAGAAATACCCTTTTCTTTAACAGGATGAACAAAGTAAAATTATAAGAAGAAAATAGTAAAAAAGTTCTCATTCTACAATACCCTTAATCAGAGGCCGAGACTTCCATAAAACAACAAAAACATGTGTTCTAGGCCACATTATATATATATAAACTTATTAGTAAATATATTAACTATACAAGACACATAAAATTTTTAGTAATTTGATTTAGATTATTACTTTTTTGATAATTTCTTATTGCAATAACAAGAAGTAGTATCATAGTTGGGCGATTTAGTAATTTGATTTAGATTATTACTTTCTTTGGCGAATGCTCTCTCGGGCACTAGCCACGGGTGAAGAATTAGAAAGACGCAGAATAAATCCTGATAAGTTCTGCAAACGTTGTGTCACAGAGATAGAAAGCACAGACCATATCTTCTTTACTTGCCCTCATGCACTACAGATATGGCGTGCCTCGATGATCCCTATAGGGTGCCTAACCAGCCCTCATGTGAATCTGGAAGCAAAGATGATGGCCATCTTTGAATGGAACAAACTTGTGGAAACCCAACCGCTGCAATCGCAACAGCCACTCTGGATATTATGGAGAATCTGGAAAAGCCGCAACAAGCTAATATTCCAAAAAGAGCAAAACAGTTGGAGTCAAGACTTTTAGTAGTGCTGGTGCAAAAAAAAGATGCAGAAGAATGGATATCAATTGGATTAGACAAAAGAGACAAGCATCCAAACCAGTCAAACTACAATGGCGCTAGACCTCAGCATACATGGAGAAGACCAAATGCGGGATGGACCAAATGCGACTATGATGGAAGTTTCACACGTCAAAATCAGCAAGCTACTGGAGCTTTGATAATCCGAAATGAGCAAGGCTATTACAATTAAAGGTGCAGGTCAAGCCATGTTTTGAACCCACTAGAAGAAGAATGACAAAGCCTGATACTTGCAATGCAACACTTATGGTCACGAGGCTTCACAAGAGTGATATTTGAAGGGGGACTGCAAGATACTGGTTGATATACTGGCAGGTAAAACCATGAGATTTGACATTATCAATTGGATCTATGAAATGAAAGCTTGGGAAAGAAGATTTGAGGCTGTGGAATTTGCTTGGACTCCAAGAACGGCAAATCAACCTGCAGACAAACTGGCCAAGACCCAACGTTCGAGAGATAGTGATTTCAATTTTTATTTCTATGTCCCAACTTGTATCCCAGAGTTCCTACACTCTGATTACGTTGGTTCCCATTAATGAAAACTTATTTGTCTCTCTGCTGAAAGTATTGGCTGCACTGCTCAGTCTTGTTATTCTTTATTTATTAGACCCCGGAGATGTGAATAAAAAGTTCAAATTAAATGTTTATTTGTTTCTGTTGGCAAATGAGATACCCAAAAAATAAAAAGTGATAATTTCATATAGTGTCCAAGAAATCTATACTAGTATTTTTGCAACACTTTGGTAACGGGTGGGTAAAAATGTTCTCGGGTATATCGGATACCCGACCCGTTTTTAAAATTCCTTCACAAAAAAAAGCTTGGATCGGGTTAAATAAAATCTAACTCATACACCGGATATTCCATATTTAATAATTTAGATATTTAGAAGATTCGATTAAGATTTAGAATTATGATTGTCTTATCATCTTTGTTTGATTTGTTTTTAACTATTTTGAATCATCATATAATACATAAAGTTAAAAAAAAAAAAAAACAATTTTTTTTTCTGCATATACAATGATTCGAAATTTTAAAAACGAACATATATAATCCAATTGACGAAAATGTATGTTCAACGTTCTACATCGATTAAAATATTTAGACAATGATTCAGAATCATATCATAAATAAGATCAACATTAATAAAATAAATGAGTTTTTTTGCCAGACGGGTTTGGCGGGACGAGTTTTTGAATCAACAACAATAAAAAGATTAAAATATCATTAATCCGCCGCTTCAATACGGATTAAATCCTTAATTTTTTTTAAATACCACCAATATTAGACATATCAAATCAGTCTCATTTAGAAAAAATTGTATAAAATCAAAAATTGTCCCGTGGTATAATGTTACCTAATAACAATTGTAAACTATAAAATATAAATGTCTTTGAAAATGATACATTTTACAAACTTTTATTTATAATAAATAATCGTTAAATTTTTTAAAATTACTACTTTTAGAAAACAAATTACGGGACAGGTTAAGAAATTACAGGATGGGTTATATGGTGGACGAGTTTGAATCAACATTTATAAAATTTTAAAATATCATTAACATGTCACTTTAATACAGATTTAGTCCTTAGTTTATTAAAATATAAATATCTTAGAGACTGATACAATTTATAAACTTTTTATATAATAAAAAATCATTAAATTTTAAAATCACTACTTTTAGAAAACAAATCACGGGACGAGTTAAAAAATTATGGGACGGGTTATATTTCGGAACGGATTTATATGGCGAACGGGTAAAAATCAATATTTATAAAATTTTAAAATATCATTAACATGCCGTTTTAATACGAGTTAAATCTTCGGTTTATTATTGTTCCGTGAACTCGTGATATACTGTTACTTGATAATAATTATAAACTATAAAACATAAATATTTTATAAAGAGATAAAATTTATCAAATTTTATATATACTAATTTTAAAAAATATATAAAAAGAGAAAGAGATGCAAGATATTATTACATTAATGTTGGATTTAAACTAATCTTGGAACATGAGTAAACACTGTTGGCCAACATTCCCTACGCCAAAAATTTAAATAAGAACATGTAAGATCTACTTGGTATTCATCTTCTCCCACAATGCAAACCTTGTTGTGTTCTTTCATGTCTCTTTCATAGTAAACGGCAACTTTCTTCTCCTCGTCAATGAAGAAACTTATGGGATGCGAAATTCGACGGATCATATGGGGTTTTAAATCCACTGTTAAGAACTTGCTCCACGACACTAATGTGGTCTCAATCTCTTTGGCGATCCATATTTCCATCTTTCCTTTCTGCCTAACCTGATATAACAACAAGGAAAGATGTTCTTCTCTGACAACTGATAGAGCTATATTGCTAGTCAAAGTTGCTGCTACTTCATGCAAGGGCACACACAGATGTTGAAATTTCTCTGTTGAAAAATCAAAACTGAGCAATGAGTAGTCATTGCCTCCAAATGGTATAGACACCCAATAAGTATTCCCCTTCAATGACACGCCACGACTAACTAAGTCGCCAAGGGGCGAGACATCAAAATTCCTCCATGAATTAGAGCTAAACTCATACATTTCTAATGTTTTTCTATCTATAAACCTCAAGATTTTGTAGCTATGGCACAATTCCTTGTTATTGTAACCGAGCGCATATACCTCATCCGATCTCTTGTGATACTGGTTTATCGGTCGGATCCATCTGGTTTTCCCCGAGAAGGGGTTCCAAACCACACACCTGTATCCATGCGGTATTGATATAGTGGTGCATAGCAATAAGCCATCGCAGTGAAAGGCTTCATATATATTGAGTTCTGATGAATTACAAAGGGGATCGATTAGGCTAAGTTTACCTTCTTCAAACAATAGACGAGAGTTGACGTGAATTCCGTTGAGATTGGAACTCAGGGAATAAACCTTAAACTCTATCAACAAGACATCGTTGTACTGCCTTTCAGTTTTATCCAAGTGCTTTTTTATGAATCCGGGGTCTTTGAATAAAGGGTGATGGTACCATCCTTTGCAAGTAGATCTTAACCGTCTCAAAGATGTCACCGGAACCCTAGAGAGTATCTCCTCTACCACATCCCATGGAAGATTGGAGATCATCGTTGTGAATCTTACAAAGAAGAAAGCACGGTGAGTTAGATAAATTAATTAGGGTTTGATTATATATACAGTATGTATATATTAAAAAAAAAAAAAAAAGAAGTAAACCTTACATTATACTTTTGATTATATGTATATAAAGAAAAAGTAAACCTTACATTATACTTTTGACTATATGTATATATAGAAAAAGTAAACCTTACATTACTATGTATCATAATTTTGAAACATAAGACTACGCCATTTGTGTAGTTAGAAGCAAATAGTGTAGCTGATAGCTTAGCAAAGCAATCGAGATGTGAATTTCATGAATATATGTAATATGTTTGGCCGCCAACAGTTGACGACGAAGAAACAAGCAACATAAGTATGGCCTTCGGGCTTTAAAAAAAGTATTTCCTTTGCCTTGTTGCTTTCTACTTTCTAACGCTTGAATATATTCCTACTAAAATACTAAGTTCCCGAAAAAGAGTAAGGGGAATTATACATATTTGTTTTCTCAAGACCTAGGTTCCATAACACAAATGCTCTAGAAGAAGGAAAATAAAAAATAAAAAAGAAGAAAATATCATCCAAAAAGAACATTGGAATCATGTGATTTTGAGGTTTCGTTGGGAAATATAATTTTCAGTTTTTATAAAGATAATTGTATGACTAGCATTTAGGTTATGTTCGCTTTCTCATTTATAATTTGCATCCAAATCAATCATTTTGGAATTTAAGTTTCAAAATAAATAAAGTACATAATCCCATTAGCCTCTTCTGGTCAAGACTCAAGAAGAGAAGAACCACATTATAAGGCAGTAACTTTTTTCGTTAACTACGAGACCATTAACATTTGCGTATTAATACGAAATTTTGTTGTTTTGTGGTTGATAGATTTGGGCTTTAATGATGTAAATGGGCTGCCCATTTGACCCAACAAAGGGGCAATTTACTAATTTAATCTGATTTGGGCTGCAAACTTTTTTTTTAGAAAACTGATCGTAACTTGCTTCGATTCCGTCTGTGTTTAGGTGGGGTAATCATACATCTGGTCATCTGGAGCTTCGAAAATCTCTCTGATTTTGGTAATTGTTATCGCATCTAATGATTAATTTGCTCTAATCCAACTTTTGAATTTTCCAATTACGACAAATTCTCTATACATTCGCAGCAAAAGTCACGGCAGGAATATGAGGCGGTTACCGCCGTGGCGCGTCCACTGGTGAAGCAGCTGCACGCAAAGGTTCAGAGCCCGAAGCTCCCAAAACAAATGCTGAAAAACGACCAAGAAGAGTCCAAAAACCCAAAGAGAAAGACTTAAATCTTATATCAGAGGAACCTAAACGAGTTCGTAGGAGCAATAAAGAGAAAAGAAACTAAGTGTAGCAGTGGTCCGGAGATGATTCAATCAGTGACTTGTCCAGAAGATGACGATCTCACAGTTGATGACTTATTAAGCTTTGCTCATGAGGTAATGTGAATTTACTCAATGCTACTTAACAATGAATCCCAGTATGTCCAACGTGATGTGGAAGAAACAAGAAAGGAGCGTGAAAGAAGCTTGTCAATGTCTGAAACTACGCTAGATCTTGATGAATCCAACACGACAACATCATCTCAAGGAGGAACCAAAGATCCAACAGCCGATGAAATGTTAGAATTGCTAATGGGTCCTTTTTTCAAGAAAGGCTAGATTTGAATTAGAACTGGGTTTTCAAGCGCTTCGACATTGTTTTTTTAACGTTTTGAATTTTGTTCCAGAGATCCAACATCATTATAAAGACCTTCATTTTTTTGTCGACACAAATAAATCATTGAAGAGGACCAAAAGTATTAAAGAATGTACGAGCTACTGAGTTCATAAGCCCATAGAGAAGAGCAAACGAAAGCATTAGTGCTCGTGAAAGTTAAATTTCTTGATTTTGGCAACTAAAAGGACCGAAAGCACCACTTTTTCAAGCGCATCAGTGACGTGCTGCCTTAACTGACTCAATCACACACATAAACACACAAATCTATAGACATATACAAGAATCAAAGAGCTAAAGACTGGAATCAAACACACTGAATAACTTCAGATTTCCAAGTTACGATGGATTTGTGATTTGACTGATTTCCAGGGTGGTGCAGCTTGCTTGATTTGCACTGAGCTTGGAACATAAGAGCACACGAGTGGCCAACAACCTGCGTCTATAGACTCGCCAAGATCCACTTGTTTGTAGTATCCCTTCTTTCCAATGATATAAGCTATGTTGCGAGTGGGGCGACGTTTACCTCTGTCTTTATCAAGAATCACCGCGACCTTCTTCTTCTCATCAACAAAGAAACTCCCACCGCTAACCAGAAACTGAAAACCAGTGAGTGGTTTCATATCAACCGCTAAGAACAACTTGTTCCACGACACTGCATTGGGCTCAATCTTGCTACTAATCCATATCTTCACGGTATACGCACCACATTGTTGAAATAGCACCGCAAGATGCTTTTCTCTAACACTAGATAGAGTCACAGTATCTCCATAAAAAGCGTGAAATGGCAGAGGCAGACGCGGTCCAAATCTCTCTGTTGTAAAATCAAAACATAGTAAGAAATCAGGGATATCTGATATATCTCCTCCCACTTCTCCTGGTACTAGAGGTGGAGGCTTCTCTTGAGAAAACCAGTACGTGTTGCCCATGAGAGACACACCACGCTGATGATACTGTATATCCCAGTCCGGATTGACATCAACAACCTTCCATGAATCAGAGTCTAAATCGTAGATTTCAAACTCACGAAGTAGACGCTTCACATTCACACTGGAGTCGTAATTATCCAGAAATCTCAAGACTTTGTAGCTACGAAGCGAGTACTTGTTCTTCCACTCGTATCCGAGAGCGTACCGGTCCAACAATATGTGGTAAGAATTCCTGGGTTTGATCCACCTTGTTTGCCCCGAACAAGGGTTCCAAACAACAAGACTAGATCTGTCTTTGGTGATGCATAACAATAAACCGTCGCAGTGAAAGACTTTAGATATGTCGACACGATCTGCATCGTCTAGGCTGATAAGTTTACCTATACTGTCTATAGATGGATTAAGGAGATTGACGCTGAATAAACAAACCCTATATTGGATCATCATGACCACCTGAAACTCTTTCCTGTGATAATTCTTTGCTGCTGCTTTTGCTTTAGCGATGTGCTTCATTACAAAGCTCCGATTTTTGGATAAGTTGTTCCACTTTTTGCATGTAGATCGCACTCCTCTTAGAGATGTCACCGGAAGCTTAGAGAGTACTTCCTCTGCCAAATCCCTTGGAAGATTGGATATCATCGTCGTACCTTGTGTGTCAAGAATCCCTTTACTTTTCTTCCGGATCTATACTATATGAGAGGTTTTTTTACTAGGATTTATTTTATATGTATGGCTGACATCTGGACACATGTCACTATGTCAGATAATAGGCACTTCAGATCTCGTTCTATTCCACCGGAGATACTACTGGTAGATCAGTGAAACTGTTTGCGAAGATGAAGGAAAAAGGGTTAAGTCCACGTTTATGCTTAAAACGCGGGTTATTCAAAGTTTTTGCAGGAAGATAAAGGTTAAGAAGGCTGGGTGGGTTCTTTTCAGTTGCAAATGTCTGATATTGGCCACGTTTTGCTTCTTTGACGCAAACGTAAGAGAAACAGAGCATGAGTGTAAGTAAATACAGAACTTCTGGTGGTGACGTCATTGATCATAGCTTTTTAACATTTTTCTGAGTCCGATAAAGTGGCGCCAATGGAAATGGTGGTTAGTAAATAGCTTAAGGCCAAAGATTTTTGTATAAAAAAAAAAAAAAAAAAAAAAAAAAAAAAAAAAAAAACAATATTCTTTAATTTATTGTGATTTGAGGGTAATCATTATCCTCTTTTGATAGATTTGGGTTTCAATGATATAAATGGGCTCAACATTTGGCCCAACAAAGGAGCATTTTCCTAATTTCATCGGATTTTGGCTGTAAATTTTTTTTTAGAAAAGTGATCGTAACTTCGATTGATCGATTCCATCTGGAGCTTCGAAAATCTCTCTGATTTAGGTAATTATTGTCGCATATAATGATTTGTTTGCTTTAATCCAACTTTGGAATTTTCCAATTACGACCAATTCTCTATAAATTTGCAGCCAAAATCACGGCGGGAATATGAGGCGGTTACCACCGTGGATGCTCGGTGGCGCGTCCACCGGTGAAGCAGCTGCACCCAATGGTTCAGAAGCCGAAGCTCCCAAAACAAAGGCTGAAAAACGACCAAGAAGAGTCCAAAAACCCAAAGAGAAAGACTTAAGTCTCAAATCAGAGGAACCTAAACGAGTTCGTAGGAAGATCGGAGAAGAAGCTAAGCGTAGTAGCAATGGCCCGGAGATGATTCAATCAGTGACTGGTCCAGAAGATGATGATCTCACAGTTGATGACTTATTAAGCTTTGCTCATGAGGTAATGTGATTCAGCTACTATTTAGTGATTTGTGAATTTATGTTACTGTTCTCTACTAATTTAACCATGAATTCAACAGTATGTCCAAAGTGATGAAGACGAAACAAGAAAGGAGCGTGAAAGAAGCTTGTCAGTGTCTGAAACTACGCTAGTTCTGGATGAATCCAATACGACAACATCATCTCAAGGAGCAACCAAAGATCCAACAGCCGATGAAATGTTAGAATTGCTAATGGGTCCTTTTTTCAAGAAACGTTAGAATTGAATCAGAATTGAGTTTTAAGTGCTTCAACATTGTTTTTTTTTTTTAATGTTTTAAGTTTTTTTGTTCCAGAAATCCAACATCATTATTCATTTTTTTTTTCTGGACGCAAATAAATCATTGAAGAGGACCAAAAATATTGAAGAATGTACGAGCTACTGAGTTCATAAGCCCATAGAGAAGAGCAAACGAAAGCATTAGTGCTCGTGAAAATTAGATTTTCTTGGTTTTGGCAACTAAAAGGACCGAAAGCACCACTTTTTCAAGCGCATCAGTGACGTGCTGCCTCAACTGACTCAATCACACACATAAGCAGACTAATCTATTGACATATAAACAAGAATCAAAGAGCTAAATACTGGAATCAAACACACTGACTAACTTCAAATTTCCCAGCTACGATGGATTTGTGATTTTAAGTGGAGATGGGTGTATATGTAGTGACGGCCACATCTAGAAAACCCTAGTTGTTCACTTTGTATTATCTCAAGGACTAATGGGCTTGCTTGTTTTTTCTTTATTGGGCTTATAAGAATTATTCAATTGGTTTAAGTAGTAGTAGTTTATTTTTTTTGGTAAGAAGTAGTTTAGTAAGTAGCTAGCTTAACTTAAATCCAGTTAATGAATGTTTCTGTAATAGTAGTGCCTAGTGGCTAACTGAATGTCTAGCATGCTTAATTTCACAATTAGGATTTGACTCAAAGTCCAATGGTGTTAAAAAGGTTAAGGGTTTAGAAAACAAGGCAAAATGTAATAATGAGAAGAAGAGAACAAAAAAAAAAAAAAAGAGAGAAGAAGAGAACAAATACATTTACCTCAATCAACCTTTCATAAACTGTATATGAGTTTCTTTCCAAACCAATAATTTACTTATAGCATAACTTATAATGTTGGGAGATTCCAGTCGAATGTTCTCAACACCTCTTAGTTTTTCGCTTTTCCATATAAACTAGTGAATTCATGAGAAAATTTCATGATAGCGGCACATATCTCAATATTCTTCGCGAATAAAAATTATAAACCAGAGTAAAAAATTCACTCTATCAAAAATCTTATAGAAACCAGTTAAATTGGCGATGAACCTATGTCGAAAGAAAGAAAATGCAATAAAAAGTGATTAACAGTTTCGCATGGTTGATATGATTGATTAATTGTGTAGTTTTCAAATTTGTAGTTTTAAAATCTAAACCATCCTAAAACTTTCTTTTCTGGTCAGGACATTAACTACAACAGCATCAGTATGTACTTCATTTGTAAAGTGTTGAGCCAACAAATTTTAGAAAGAAAAAAAACCCTGTAGTTTCGACATTTGAAAATGATATTTTGGAGGTGGTGAAATGAAATCAGAATGTTTTTTCAAGGGGTTTTTTCTCACCCCAAAAAATTAATTAAAATAAAACTGATCATGAAAGTTAAGGAATAATAATAGCTTTGTACGACTTGTTTCGCCGGAGGTGTTTACCTCTCCGCACCTATTTTCTCTCCTTCTATCTCACATTCGAAGCTCTCTCCATCTCTATCTACGTCTCTCTTTCTTTTACGGCGCTTCTTACACATTGTGACACACATCAACTCCTACCTAATCCATTTGCAGATCGAATTCACCCGACGAAGAATCACATCAGGTAAATCAATCGCTCGAAGAATCACAACTAACTCTTATCGTCTTCTTCTAGTATTAAATGCGTTTCCCGTTGCTTAATATGTTCAATTCTGAGTCATTTGAGTGTGATCTGGATCGGTGTTTTCCCCTTCTACGAGTTTGGATCCAGTCAAGTGATTTAGATGCGAGAAAGTTGGGATTGTTGATAAATCTGTAATCTTTATGGAGAGAGAAGATTACTGGGGATCGGATAAAACTCAATTTTTGGTTAAAATTTGACTAAATTTGGCTCTTTTGTGATGCAGTTTTTTGGGTTTTGAGGAATGAATTTCTTGCTTCGATCTGCTTCTTCCGCTACTCATCGGCCTCCGGTGAGCGAACCACCAGCTACTCCGCCTCAACCTCCCCCTGAAACAGCCAAGCCCGGAGTGACTTTGGAAGGGCTGATAGCTGAAGAGTCTTTCCCACAATATCCATCAGTAGAAGAAGATCTCGATCGTCTGGGTAACGGATCTAGAGATGATGATGGTAGTGGAGAGTCAAATGCTAAGTCTGGTGGCTCTGGTATGGAGAGATTCTCTGATGTGTCTGAGGAAGAAGGATGGATCGCCATTCCATATAGTATATAACTTACTCTCTCTATACTTGAATTTTAAAGTTTTGATTTTGAAAGTATTGAATTAAGAGCCTTTTGTTACTTATCCTGATTTGGTGATTTCTCATTACAGAGGAGATCCCGGATAACTGGTCTGAGTCTGTTGATATTCATTCTTTACGGTCGCTGGATCGTTCCTTTGTTTTTCCTGGTATGCTCTTTCTCAGATCATCTCATCTCACCATTTGCGTTTAAACTGCTACTAGCTATTGAACATCAAATACATTTTTCTACTTTAGGGGAGCAGATTCAAATCCTTGCATGCTTATCTGAGAGTAAAGGAGACACAGAGATTATTACCCCTTTTAAGGTTGCCGAGGTAATGAGCAGAACTGGACAGAGAAAGGTCTCTGACAAACAAAATGGAGATATCTCTGATGGGGCGAGTACACCATCAGGGGATGGAGAAATGAGTCCTGATGCTCAATTTGCTACTCAGAATGGTGACAGTCCTGGTAAAGAGAGTTTGGATTCACAAAAGGACTTATCTGATGGTGAATCAATCTTGAGGATGGAAGATCATAAGAGACGAACAGAAGACTTGCTTTCCAGGTTTCAGAAGTCTCATTTCTTTGTTAGGATTGCAGAGTCTGGTGAGCCTCTTTGGTCAAAGAAAAGTTCTCTGGTCGCAGATACAGAGATGGATGAAAAGAGGAAAAGCACAAAAAGTAGACCTTGTGTTAGTGCCTTTGTAGATAGAGGAGACTTTGATCCTAATGTTGCTGGAGGTGTAGCTAGAAGTAAGGCAAAATGCTGTGCCTTACCCAATGGAGATATAGTGGTATGTGATGGTAAATTTGTTACTTTCTGTTTTGGTAATAAAACTATGGTAGTCTGTTTGAAATGCCTCTTTTATGCATTGTCTGATTTATGTGAATTTACTACCCTACTCGTTCAGATATTCTGAACTTTTTATAACCGAGTTAACGGACCTACTGATTCTCAGACAACACCTTTCTTTGGAAGGATGCAGGTCTCTTTACAAGTTTATATTGTCGACTGTCCCAAAGAACCCATCATAGAGATACTGCAGTTTGAGAAGCAGCAGGACAAGGACCAAAATTCTGAGAACGATAAGGATCCATATGGGAATCTTTTAAAGTGGTTAATACCGCTGGATAACACTATTTCTCAGCAACCCCGTTCTTTACCACCTCCTATAACCCCTAGCCCAAGTATCAGCAGCACTGCACACAAGCCAGCGATCTCTTCTAGCTCAGGCTCTCAACTCTTCTCATTCGGCCATTTTAGAAGCTACTCCATGTCCGCTCTACCTCCAAACACTGCACCAGTTACTGGACCCATAAAAACACAGAGCTCTAAACCATCATTTGATATTGAAGATTGGGACAGTTACTCAGGTCAAACGGTACGAAACGGTCAGAAGTCTGGGACTGAAGAGCTCTTATCTTTTCGGGGTGTCGCATTGGAGCGGGATAGGTTTTCTGTTCGTTGTGGACTCGAAGGCATCTGCATCCCTGGTAGAAGGTGGAGGAGGAAGCTCGAGATCATTCAACCTATTGAGATAAACTCTTTTGCAGCTGACTGCAATACAGATGATCTTCTCTGCGTTCAGATAAAGGTGTGTCTCTGCATCTCTGTTAATCTTTGGTGTTAATGTGGTCAATTATTTCTGGGATGCATCCTAACTTACCTTTTTACTGGCAGAATGTGGCTCCTACCCATGCTCCAGATATTGTAATATACATAGACGCCATAACAATTGTTTTTGAAGAAGCAGGGAAAAATGCTTCCCCTTCTTCAGTACCAATAGCATGCATTGAAGCTGGAAACGAGCACAGTTTGCCAAATTTAACTCTCAGGTTAGCTTATTTTCCTAAATCCCTCGTAATTATTTTTCTTTTGTATTCAAATTCTCCCATCAATCTTCTTGATAAAATTGATAGATTTAGATATCAGCATTTTGCTTTAGTCCAGTAAGTCTCAGAAGTCTTCAGTGATGTGAAATACAAAATAACCCATAATATTAGGTAATCTTGGGTAGTGACCAAGACACCATAGAACAAGTTATCAAATCCAACGAGTTTCTGAGAGTAACTATTCTCAACAAGCACCGTGGTTTGGAGGCTAAAACAAGCTAGAATACTCCTTTCAGGAACATTATAGAATGCACTTACCCACCCTTAGGTTTTCTTGCAATCTTTCAGGAAAGGTGAGGAGCACTCATTCATCGTGAAGCCTGCGTTTTCTGTTGGGAGTAATCTGAAGCCCTCTGCTGCACGAAACAAACTCAAATCATCGAGTTTGTCTCTTCCAACTGTAAATTTTGAAAGAAAAGGGAGTGGTTTAAGTGGTGATCAGTATGCGGTTATGGTGTCATGTCGGTGCAACTACACAGGTAGATCCACATTACCGTGGTTTGTAGCCATGTTTTTATCTTCGTCCATTCATATCTATAGCTGTTTCATCAATGCTGTTTTATGTTGGACTCAGAATCAAGACTGTTTTTCAAACAACGGACAAAATGGAGACCACGAGTTTCGAGAGACCTGATGATCTCTGTTGCGTCTGAAATGTCAGGAGAGCCTTGTGGTCCCCATGGGAGAGCCTCTCAACTGCCCGTTCAGGTCATTCTCTCTCTTTATCTCTCTCTGACTATCCCTAGAATTTAAATGCGACAATGCATGAACTAATGGAAGGAGTTCGCAGCTGCAAGTGACTGCTAGTGTTTACCCAAATGACTGAAGCTTTAATCAGATGTTGTCGCTAAATTATGGTTGCAAAAGTTGCTAAAAACTAACTTGTGG